CTTCATACATGTATTCATAGAATTAGACTCTCAAGCCCTAGTAAATATGGTTACGATAAGAACATAAAAATAGATTTAGAGTAAATATGGTCAAGGCCTAGTAAATATGGCCATGCCCTATATATTGCATTCAATTCTAATCAAAAGACAAAAATAGATTTATCTCAAGGTTAATCAGTGATTTAAGTAAAAAGTTATGAAATAACATAATTTTATATATATATATATTTAGTTCTATTTCATTAACTTTGGTTTAGATTCTGATGGTAATTTTTTATCATTTACCCCTAGTTATACTACAAATTGATACGCTAACACTACCCAAAACCTAGAGACTAATACAAATAGATGGACTGGTGAATCAAACAAAGGACCACTTACCCCAGAGGCAAGGAGACTGAACTCCTCATGGCCGCAAGTCTCTACCTAATTATATCGAAGGTCTAGTCCAGCCTTCTAAGACTGTCACAAATGCATTGGTCACAAGACATAATCTGAAAAGGCCATGCAGATAACAACTTTGAGGATTAGAGTCCAAGCACATTAGCTTATCTAGCTGGTAGAAGAATTATAAACTTCTTTGAGAATTTAACATCTTACTCCAAGGTGAAAACTTGGAGATCTGAAAAGAGATTTTTGTGCAGCCACCCAAATGTAGGTCTAACTCCTAGGAAAGAGATAAAAGAGGCTGTCCAAGTGAGTGAGCCACCTCAACCATTTTAGCTTCCGTCATGGGAGCTAAGCATGCAATGAAGGAGAAGAAGGGATTTAGGAAGATCAAAATCCTCTTGCCCCCTTCCCATATTGGACATCAAGGTGCAAGTTGGGCATCACTACAAAGTGAAGTCCAAATCTAACTCAAGTCAAATAGTGTAACTCTTGTTTCAATGAAATGAAATCTAAATTTTAAAAAAATATATATACCTTGAAGAAGTGAACCACAAGGATATGATTGCACATTAGGTTGTCACAATCATTTTAAACAAATGATATTAACACAACAACCCATTTGATAAATAAGATACCATCAATACCCCTAGACCATCAATGGTCAAAGGAGTGCTAAACTAAAAATAAATAAAATATGCTATATTTACAAATCTTCAGATGCTTCTTATTTTATTATTCATTATGAGATAAATTAGAAGAAAAGTGAAAAAAAATGTTACTATTGAAATTATATGACTCGATGAAACACCATGATAGGGGATGAATTGAGATTTTAGAAGCTTTGATGATATTTTGCTTTTAAGTTGATTTTTTACACAAGTCAATTTGTGTACAAGTTGAAAAAATTAATACAAGATGAAAGCCTACATATTAGGTAAGATTTCTATGCATAAATAATTGAGAATGATGTGATTTCTATACAAAAATTCAATGTTCTATATTGATATCGTCACATCATACACTTCAACAACTAATGAATCACATCATTCTCTTCAATTGCCTGATTTGGTGATAAAAAAATTCTACTATTACAATTGGACTCTTTGTCACGTGATTAAGTATTTAACTTGTGAGGAAAAAGTGGAGTTGGTGAAGTCATGTAGTGCTTGTAACCTTATTTTGTTTAAGAGTGACAAGTGTGTTGAAATATCTCTAAATAGATAAATTGAAGTGTTTTAAGTTATTGTTCTCATGAAACTGTGTATATTCTTAATAAGAATAGTCAAAATTAGATGATAGTTTCTTCTAGGACTTAAAATAGTGCAGTAAAGATTGAACCATTATAAAAGTGATGTTCTTAGTAAAATTGAGAAATCTTTCACATGTGTCGATACACACATCTCATTTATTGATATATATTTTAAAACACATGATTTTTATATCAACCTTCTAATCATACAATTAATATGTGCCATAGGTGTTAATATAAGAATAACACAATGGAAAACATTGGAATCTTAGAAATGCAAAATGATTAGTAAGACAATAATACACAACTACACATGGAAAATAAATACAATTTTTCAGTAATATGAGTGGTATCCTCTCCATCCACTATTTCTACATGTCATAAAAGTTGAGGAAAAAATTTACTTAACAAATAAATACATTATAACTAAATGTTTATAAATTTTAATCTTGTGATTTTACATTTGGTAGTATTTAGGAGTAGGTAAATTAAATAGTTTGAAATAATATCAAATTATTCATGCATATATCATAAGTATGGAAGCAACTAAAATGCATAATTTTTCCAAATGATGTAAATTAAACCTAACCATAAGAAGACTAAATCAGAATTCCCCTCTTTCAACAAATGTTTGGAGCAAACATAACTTGATGGTTTTATTACAATGGCAACAAATCAACTTTGAAGTTTCTAATTTCTTTTACCATTAATTACAAAAAATAACTTTCTTTACTTCTAAACTATTTAATGAGATATTTATGCCTAACTAGATTTTTCAATTTTTCTTATGTACTTTTCTTCTGTGCTTCCACATGCTCCCTCTTTCTTAAGATGGAATCCTTGTTGCTCTTTCTTTTCTTCAACACTCTCTCAAGAACATATGAAAATAGTTGTGGATCTTCACTTTCCATCTCTCTCCAACTCTTATTGATTGAGCTTCAACAAAAGATTCATAGGACATAACAATTAGGAGCCATGAAGTTGTACCATGAAGAGGGAGAAATGCTCACCCTTGACAAGTTGATGGCAATCAAAAACTCAATATCCAAGCACCTAGAGATTTAGGAAGAAATGGCAACTGTGCTATTGGTTAGTGATCAAGGTGGACACCCCATTATGTGATGAGAAGATGGCAGATGAGGGGATACAAAGTAGAGGAAAACCCTAGTCTAATGAGGGAAGGGGTTCTTTGGGTCCAATCAAAGATTGGTGTTCATTTATAAGTCTCAATAAATGATCAAACCCAAATGTGTGTGTGTGTGTGTGTGTGTGTGTGTGTGTGTGAGAGAGAGAGAGAGAGAGAGAGAGAGAGAGAGAGAGAGGAGGTGACCCAATCTTATTAAATATTATAGTAATTTATTTTAATATGTTTTTCCACACTTTTTTTGAAAATTGGCAAGTTTAGAATTTTGCTTTTGTGCTTACAACCTATTTTTGTGAAAATATAACTAATGCCTTACAACCTATTTCCAAACTTATTGGGTAATTAATAATGTATAAATTTTGACATCTTGGTGGTTAGAGTTCATTTTCATGAATAATAGTGGTAATGCCTTCTTAGTAATTCATTGGGAAATTAACATATATTTTTGATTCATTGGCTGATGTTATAAGTTTTAGCAATAGTTGGAGGTCTAAATCATAAATTGTGCATCATCTTGGTACCTACAACTTGCTTTTGTGAAAATATCACTACTATACTCTTAGTAATTCAATGGGTAATTACAACATACTTTTTGATTCATTGGTTGATATTAAAAAATTTAGCAATATTTTGTGATCTTTAATCATAGACTATAAAGTAGTCTTGGTGATTACAACTTATTTTTGTGAAAACGTTACTAAAGTCCTATGATGAGAGAAAAATGTTCACCCTCTACAACTCGTTAGCAATTTAAAACTCCATAATATCCAAGCACACAAAGGTTACAATAATGGCGACTCCACTGGTGATTGACAATCAGAAGGTGGATGCCTTGTTTTTCAAGACTTGAGCCTCAAAATCAAGCTGTAGAAAAGAAAAGTTTGTACTTGACCTTGTTGGTCCTTATGCATGCCAGCTTTGTGCTTTGCTTGGATAGAGTGGAACTTGGAAGCTCAAAACTTGTTTTTCTTCTTGCCATATGGCTTTATTAGGATCACACCCATGTTCTAAAGGAGTTGTCCTTCTTCATCCTCTTCTTGCCCCCATTCTATCTTTCTCTATCTAAGATAGATGCATTATAAGGGATTGGGCCTACTTGACTTGGCCATTATGAGGATCCAACCTCAACCTCATTTTCTAAGTTATTATTCTTTTCCCACTTGTTAATACCCTTGATTTCATGCTGAATGTATTTCAAAATATATCTTAATATTACTTCATATTTCATGAAATAATATTCTTATGTTGTAGATCACCACCAGCATCTCCACCTTCACCTTAAAGTTTTTTATTAATAAAATCATGTTTCCAATTGCATTAAATCTGATTTGATTCTATGGAAGTGAAAATTATCAAATAAAACCACCTTTTAATATTGCATATCAGTTGTACCCATCAATGTTATGGCAATATCAATAGATTGAGAGAAAAAGCCCACTAGTTCTAATAAAGGTATATTATTGATCAACATGGATGATGTGTACCCCATACTATTAATAGAACAACCCTGGTTGACCTGGTTGACGTGGTCAGGTGTAAACATTTTTTATATCACACTGGAATTAATCTGAGGTGAGAATTTATCTGTGCATATCGATGGGCATCAACATGGTGCACATTGGGAGGGATGAGGTATCCGGGACAGATGTCAATATGTCATTGGACCTACTGATCACACCTTCCTTCGACTTTCACCGCCTCCCTGTGCGTGTTACGGTCAATAAGACGAGATCGGGGTGTGTGTGGGAGGAGAGGTAAAACAGGAGTCTCAGTCCCCCTCAAACCACGCCGAAATCGACCTTTCTTCCTCTGCCACATCCATCGTGGGGAGAGAGGGAGAGAGAGAGAGAGAGAGAGATTCATGCGTGCTTGGCCCCTGCTGCTGCAGCTGTTGCCTGCACCATTCGTGTAACAATTCTTCCCCTTGTTTTGATAAGATTGCAGTATTTTCCTTCTGTCCAGTGATCCCCGGAGGCCGCTCGTCTTGCTTCCCCAGCATGAGGCGAGCGCGCGCACTCGGTCGGTTCCTCTTGCTTCGCCGGTGGCGCCCTTTTTGTCTTGCATGATCTTTCACTTCTAGGGTTTTTCCGGGGCCTAATAGTTTTCTCTTGCTGCCAAAAAGATATTCACTTCGCGTATCCGCGCTCCAACTTTTTTCTCTTCGTGTAGGGTTTGCGATCTCCGTTTAGCTGTCTGATTTATCTTGGAGCGGGCAGGATGTCCGCCAAGCCGCAGGTCACCATCACTCTCGGGCGTAGCGGGCAGGTACTTGTTTTCTTCCCCGTCGTCTTCTTTCTGTTATTTTTCAATATCTAGGTTGCTTGAAGTTTGCATTTTAGCGTTTGATTGCCCCTTTTTCTATGCATATCTTTCTACCCCAAATTTTCCCAAGTCACCTTCGACCTTAGCTTTACAACAGAAAGGATTAGGTTTGTAAATAAGTGCTCCTTTCTTCTGAGTTTGTATAGCCCTACAGATTTATGCTCTTTGACTGCAGCAAGTTCAGCAAGAATGGTGCCGCATTGATGTGATGACAGCCTTGAATGCATAAATAACTGGATTTCATAGGGCTATGCTATGGCTTACCTTGCTTCGGTGAAAATTTACTAATGATGATTCATTGATCATAGTTGGATTGATGATCAATATTTGGCGGTTGTCCCGCTTATAGGTCCAATCGATACATACTAAGAATAAATATTTGAATATCAAGTTCATTGATCTCATAGGTATCATGCCAGATCCCGTTGATTGAATCACTTTTTCCGATAAATACAAGACATTTAAGTGATACAACTAAAGAAATCTATGCATGGATAAGAAAAAAAAACGTGAACAGTGATTGGATTGATGATAAAGTAGAATCCTGGGTGCAAAAAAAGATAACGTTGATGATGCCGAAAAAGATTTTACTCTTTTGGTAAAGTTGATAGCTGAATTAGGTCTTGATTGTTATACGTATTTAGGCCTCAATATCTGTGACCTCTGCTAATTACCGCATGAAGTTATGCATGTGGATTAGATTCTGTCTGAGGCTATGAATGGCTATAACCTGTCGGCTATGCCTATTGGCTTTTGTATTAGGAATATTGTAGAAGAAATATTTCTTAAAAATGTCTTTTTTCCCTTGCAATTGAGATTTCGCGGGTTATTTTTTGTGATGTATATCACAACAGTGATCATGTTTTTGCTTGAATGATCGTGATCCGTATCCTGGTCTATGAGACATTTCTCTACCGCATCCCTGGTTGTTTTGACCACTTTATGCAATATAAGTTTAAGTTTTCTTGCATCTGATTGTTAGGTTGTCAAAAGATCTGGGGCCACTTCTGAAGGTTTTCAATCTGATTATGGAACATCGTCAGGAGGTAAGAGGCCTATGAGGGAGAGATTGAGGAACAGCTCGGATGAATATGGTGGCATGCCACAGAACAAGCGGTATGACGTTTTTTGATGGAGATATGCATTGGTTATTGCTAGAACTGTTGTCTGCTGTCAAAATGTTTCATAATAAATCTTATGTCGAATTCTCTCTCCTGGATGTTTGAATATTTTTGTTAATTTGCGTTAATGTAGAATTTTGACTTGAAAAGGACATTGCCTTTACGGCAATGGCAAGTTTTGTACGATGCCCCGTTTTCTGAGACGGACCTTTTAAATCAGTGGCAAGTATATTGTTTTAATTTCTAGTGGGATATATTTCCATGTAAGAAAATAACCGTTGTACTATTTGGTTTTTTTATCACTTGTGCAACAGAACCGACTTCTCATTTTACCTAGTTTTAGAAAAGTCTTCATTTTTCATGAAGTTAAAGGATTGATAGGTGTCTTCCTGGGCGAGAGGAGATTACAAATGCTTCTGGCAGAAGCATACTTAAAAGTTAGATTACATAATCTGTTTCCAGGAGTGGTGAAGTCATGCTGGTTAAGAGCAGAATCCATTTTGATGAATGTAATTTAATTACTCGTAGGAGATGAGGCTTTTGGATCTCGTAGAGAATGAGATAGCATGTGATCTTCTCTGTCTGGAGAAAAACATTGTGAAGATTTTGTTTAACATAATCTGTGTCTTGCATTTTCTCGCACCATTACACTAGTCGTGGCTGCCTAGTAGGGCAATGCGTTTATCTGTACTCTTAACTCATGAATGAGGTGGTGACGCAATGATTATCCCTCAAGCGAGGGCTCGATCATAGATTATATGTTAAGATCATATGAAATGATTGTTTGGGCCACTGCTTTAGCCTATATCTTCTCTATTGTGGCTCTTTGTTGTTCTCAATATGTGTCTTTTCAACTGCAGGCTGCGAAGAGAGAATCACCAATGGCATTCTGACAATGATATGAACGATGACAACCTGTACCAGTCTAGTATCCATTGTACCTCTCTTGAGATGCTCTTGTTTATCTCTCAACCTAATTCTCTTTTTAACTGCCTCATGTGCTTGTGCCCTTAATGGTAAAAGATAATCACATTGGTCGGAATGACCTGCGGTTTAAACTTCTGCGGAAAAAGGTACCCGCCAGGCATGATGTGGACCTTCGTGAAAGGCTTTCTCGAACTGGCCAAATCCCCTATAGATTCAATCCACGCAAGCATCAACCAGAGGCCAAGTCGTTTGGCTCTTCAGGGCGAATCCCTCCCACGAGAAGTGCAGATGATTTGTTACATGTGGATTCTGTAAGAAGATCATACTCTCCTAGGCGTTTGGATAGATTCAGGCATAGATCCCCTGACAGGCTTTTAGGTTCCTCTAGGGGTCTCTCCCCACAAAGGAATTATGATGACATTCGTCAGCGTTCATCTATAAGGTCTCTTGATTCCCAAAGGTCAACATCTGCAATGGAAAAAAGATCCATTGATGTTCCTAAGCCTGCAGCATTTTCTTCCAAGGCTCCGTACCCTGCTGAACGTCCAAAGGCTGTAATGCGACCTCCATCCAATGGCACGATGAAGACATCTTATGTGGTAGGATTTTCCTCTGTTTGGTACAAATAACAATCATATTGTATTTCAGTTCATTAGTATAGTTCCGAAGTGGTTCTCTTCTCTTTTATTTTATTGAGTTATACCAGAGTAGAATTGCCCACGAGCTAAGTTTGAATGTTTGAATAAGCATGCATGTGGTCGACTGTTATAAAATTATCTTATAACTGGAAGATTATGCCCATCTAAGCCTTTGTATGGCTTTAGAAAACCATAAATCGTCGTTAGAAATTACCCTTTACTTGCATGGAAAGAGGGAATGTCCCTTTTGGGGTGCTGAGATGGAGGGAAATTAAGGATGAGAGTGTATAGAGGTGGGCGAGTTGTAGAAGCAGTAGTATCGGGAGTGTGAGTCACACTTAATGGAGGAAAAGAATTCTTTCAGAAAGGGGGAGAAAAAAAGCAGGTTTGGTGGAAAAAAACTAAGCTTATTCTTGTTACTCGGTCGTTCTTGGAAAATATCAAGGTGAAGTTCCATAGACTGAATGCTGAATGTAAGGTGAAATTATGTTTTATTTTGTATATCTTCTTATTATTCACCCTAGTATTTAATGTGACTGAAAATACATATCAATGTAAATGTAATGTTATTGACGCATTAATCCATTGTATTTTCCCCAGTTTACAAAACATGTGAGTTCTTCAATATCCTTGACAAAATCACTATTAACCCTGAAGCAGGCCTGAAAGTGTGCCGAACTCATGTATAATGACAAATTCAGGTATGAACGAAGCATACTTGAGTAAACTCTGACGTAGTTTTTCTTGGTTGTTGGGGCTTGAAAGTCCCGACTCATTGACATCCCTAGTCCCTCTGCATTGGGGGAATGAAGATGTCAAGTGGGTTAGTAAGCATCAGAGAAAGGGAAGAAAGTGATTTGGGACTCTCCTTTTGTGTTTATTGTGAAGGCCATGATTACCGTTAGTAATAGGTTTTTTTTGTGGTTCGACCTCGATTCAAAATATTTCGAGTCTTATCAGGCGTATACAGTTGACCAACCAACGGACTAACTTGCCATTAAATAATCTGCTTGTAGTGTTTTCAGATCGAAGATTATCAATGGTTAGACCGTTCTTGCGGAATAGATTTTCCCCCTCCAGAATATATCTTCTCTTTATGTTGAGAAAGAGCCATGATTTTAACGATTCTTGTTTGTTTTCATTGTTTTAGCGACATGAGATAGTAACGGATAATGTTTACATGGTCTGTCTGTGCCTGAGAAAAGGCTGATGGTAACTTTTAGGGGGCTTGGCTGGTTTGAGGCCTTAAAAATCATGTGATTGAGCTACTGGACAAGACCCAGTCTTTTGATCCCGATTCTACTCTGGATGTAAACTACTAGAGGCATAACTGGCCTGTGGCTTACTCCAGTAGCTCCTGCCCATTGGAGATCTTGATATTTTAACTTTTACAAGTTTTTTTTTATAATTTTTTAATGTTCCAAATTTCAGTTAGACCTTTCTATTTTCTAGGTTCTGATCTGTATTGTATGATTTTCCTAAAACTTGGGTGTTATTGAATCATGCAACTTTTGCACAGTGGGAAGGATGAAATGTTTTGAAAGAGGGAAAAGCGTGAATATATTTATATACAAGAAAAGAGCTTATGACTTCTCTTTCATATTGGAGCAAAATTGCATCCTTCGAAATGGATAAAGAATGAAAATATTGTCTCATTTTCATTTGCCAATTGTGCTCTTTTCTGTCCAGAGGAAATCGATAGTGAGGCAGGGGATTATGAAAGAATAGACGATGAAGAAAAGAATGACAATGACTCACTTATTTTAGTAGTATTGATGATAGGGCATTCAAGGGCAGTAGAGAAATGCAGAGAGTATTGTGGATATGGGCTATGATGATGGCAGGGGCGTCTTCCTGGGGAGCACGATCAATGGTGAAAGGTCCCTGTGATTATAATCGTACTCTAACTTTACTAACTGGCATACTTCGACTAGATTGCATCGATTCTCCTGGTTCTGAATGTATCAGCTATTTTTCAACCCTAACCAGTCGTTGGTTTCTCCTAATTTTAATGTATAGTTACTTATATTTTGACTTCTGCACATTCCCAGAACGTAATAGATATGCATTTAAATCGTTGGTTTCTTTTTGTCATTTAAGCCAGCCTACCTATGTGTCATTCTGAAATTTTATTCCGTGGAACAAGAGCGGTAATAATTAACCACCAATAATTGCAGAAATTTAATCTGTATAAATTTCTTGTTTGCCAGTCTATTATGAATTTCTTGTTAGCTGGCTATTTTGTTCAGTATATTATCATGGCGTAAGCTCTTGACATCTGATCGTCATCTCATTTTCTGCTTTTTGTTTGCTCACTGCAGCCTGGAGAGCCGACCAATGTCAGTAACTTACTGCATTCGCTGGGGCTGGGGAAATATGCCATTATTTTCCAAGCAGAAGAAGTAATTTTTTTACTTTACCTGATGGTCCATGTTGTCTGTTCCTTTGATGAAAATGCTGTATTCCTCCACAGAATGAACTCTGGGAAATATAGGATAGTTTTTTTCGTTATTTTGATATTTTTCATGATTTTTTATCATCTGCAGCAGATTTTTTTTGGAATTACTTAATTACTAGTTTCATTTCTTGGTTTAGCGTAGGTGCCATTTTAAAAAACCTGCGACAGATGTATGTTTAGATTTTTCCACCAGTAATGCTCTGATCCTGCCATCATATTTCCCTTATTTGGGTCGAAGGGATGTATTGACTTATAGAGTTGCTTTTTTCTTTTTACCTAATAAAAAGGAGACGAAACTAAAATGTAGCATACCTCGTAATGCAATTAAGCTTTTATCCATTTAAAACGTTCAGACTTGAAATAAAATCAGGGGAAGAAATGAAAAAGCCTAGGATGTAATTTATTATTTTATGCCAATATTACTTGATGGCCGGCGAGAATAGCTGTGAAAAGATGAAAGATACTGATAGACGAAGGGGATTGGACATTAAATCGAAATAAAATTAGCTCTATTTGAAAAATATACAAGGTAGTTATCTTTCATAATATAACCTTTACAAATTCTTTTCACATTTTAGTTGTTATGTTTATTTTTCTTGTGACCTATGTTTTCCTTTGCAAAACCGAGAATGCAAAAGTGAGACCACGTATTAACTTGTAACTAAGTTCCCTTATTGCTGTAATTCTGAGATGCGAGTATGATCTTGCTTTGATACACAGGTGGACATGGCTGCATTGAAGCAAATGGGGGACACTGATCTCAAAGAGTTAGGGATACCAATGGTATGATTTCTTCTATATACGTATTAATGTTCGGGTTGCATGGAGTTTAATGGTTATCTTGTTTAGTCCTGTTTAGTCCCTTTAATTCTTCTATATAGGTTTTTCGTTGTGGATGTCAGAGCTTCGGTTCTCCTGTTTAGTCCCTTTAATTCTTTGATCGTAATCTCGTTTGCATGAGCAAAGTAAAAGTTATGTCAGACGAAATAACCAAAATATTAAAAAAAAAATGATGAATTCCCATGCATGGAGTTTAATGGTTATCGATACAAGCCACGGAAATTTGTTCATTTGCCTGATCTTGTCGAATAAATTGTCTCATTCATCTGTCCCCATGGGATCTGCTTCCTGTACGATTTGTTTGTTGTGTGGGGTCTTTCATGCTTTATAATTTGTGCCAAATTTGTATCTCTTGTCACACCATCGCCTGCTCTTTTTTCAAGAAAAATCATCATTCTATCCTGTTCATATTGATGGTTTTCCTGTTCGAAACTCCAAAAAAAAACATAAGAGAAGACTTGTGAAAAGCGAAAATTTCCAAAAAGGAGGCCATTTGATTCCTACCCAAAGGACCCAACTCAAACAATAATATTCCATGTATGAAATCTGCATCAGAAAGCTGTATACGGCATGCTAGTATTGAAAATTGATGTCTGATGAAGCACCCTGATACTTCCAATGGGCCCTGCTCCAGATCTCCAGAGCATGGATTGCACACGGTCTACAATTCTTCATCTTATGCACTTTTGTATGTGGATTCCCCCATGTTCTGGTTTTTATGTCACCATAGTCTCCAGCCAGTTTTCGGAGGTCAAATTATTTCCATATTATCCAGCGTTATAACCACAGTTTACTGTAATTCTCCTGTTTGTGCCCTTCCCTTCGTCTTCAAGCTCCGGTTGATGCTTGTTCATAGTTTCCCTGAAGGCGTTTTATTATAGATCCAATTCACCTGGTTTCGAATCTAAACAAGAAAAACCAAAACCAAGAAATCTATATTTATGTGCTAAAGGCACATTCTAGTTTATCATAAATCCAATTCATATGGGTCAAAGTCAGAACAGAAAAGGAAATTTTCTATGTTTATGCACCAGAAGCATATTCTGAGCATTTTCATCGAGATAATCTCTCATTTGTGCCCTCCCCATCGTCTTCAACCTCTGGAAACAGATCTATTCTATGTTTTGCCTCCGTATCTTCAATAGTCCCCTTCTGCTCTGATTAAATCTGAGCTGCCCTGTCTTGCCTTTCATTTCTGCTAAACTAAAAACACTCTCTTGTTCTTGTCGCGAAGCTACCCATCTGTTTCTTATCTCAGCCAAGCCATGTTATGGCTCGAACTGAAGACTCTGTTTTGCATGCTTATATGAACAGGGAAATGGTTTTGATTGCGTCAAGATTAAACCCATGAATTTATTCGTTTTAGTATGATCCTTGCACTGGCGCATGTAATACACTTGATAACCTTACCGAAGATGATATATTACTTGAAAAATGTTAGGCACTCACCAAAACATGAGATGGATTGTGACGACTTCCATCGAACCACATGCCAATCTCTCTCTCTCTCTCTCTCTCTCTCTCTCTCTCTCTCTTGTTCATAGTCTTCCTGAAGCCATTTACATTTGGATTGTAATATCTTTTGCGTAAAAGAGCTTCATTTTCTTTGGGCACATAAGAAACTCATCCTAGTTGAGAATTATGCCATTATCTCACGAGTGGGGAATCTTCCTGCAATTGCAGGGACCGAGGAAGAAGATCCTTCTGGCCCTCCTTCCGCGCGCCAAGCAGCGGCACCCGTGATGGAGAGCCTGAAACAGCCCACCAGAGCACCTCCCCTCTCCTCTCCCCTCCTCTCTGCGCTTCTGCACTTCCCCCTGTTACCCATTTCCTCAAATGGATTACCCCACACACAGCAGTAGATCTTATTTCCTCTTTTGGCTGTTCCCTTCTCCCTTGGGCGGCTCTCAGCAGGCCCTGATGGGGGGCGGGGAGGGCGGCTCTTCCCTCTTCCGGAAGGCGAGCGGGAGGAGCTTCGCCCTTCCGCCGCCGCAGGAGTGGGTGTCCGGGAAGCGGTGCCTGAGGCACAGCCGCTGGTGGCAGGACCTGCAGGGGGCGGTGTTGGAGAAGGTGAGCTGCTCCCGGCAGCCCCTGGCGGGGCACCTGGCCTTGCTGCGCTTCCTACCTGGGTCGCAGCCGCCGGAGCCCGCGTGCCGCGCGAGGGCTGCGCTGTCGTCCTCCCCGCCCCGCCTCTCGACGGAGGCCGAGCAGGCGTCGCAGACGACGACGACCCGGCTCTTGTGGTCCGCCTTCGGGCAGTCGTGGCCGGCGTAGGCCCTGTGCTCCTTGCAGAAAACCTGCCGCAGAAGAAAGCGAGATGTCTAGGTTTTGAAAAAAAATGCATTCAATAGTCCGAATTAAGATTCATTAGGGCTTCTGAGATAGATTGAAGATTCCACAGATGATTCAGATCATTGGAGTAGGGATGTCTAGGTTCTCAATCAGTTGATGGTCCGATTAAGATTGATTAGGGTTCGTAACCTAGATTGACGCTTCCCAATCCCCTTCAGAGCATACGATTTAGGGGAGGGACGTCTAGGTTTTGAATTAGTTCATGGTCCGATTAAGATTGATTAGGGTTTGCAACCTAGATTCAGTGTTCCCGATCTCATTCAGATCATACGACTTAGGGTAGGAATTTCGGTCGAAGAAGGTCAGGTTTCGGAGGATGATCCTGATCATCGGGGACGGGATGACGGTGGCGGCGTCGTACCTTGTGACAGCCGTCGCACTCGAAGGGGAGGAAGTCCAGCTGCCCGCAATCCTCCATCTCGCAGTGCCTCCCCAGCTCCGGGAACGCTTCTGTTCCTCCCGCCATTTCTCTCTCTCCCTCTCGCTCCGTGGGACGGGAAGGGGAAGCTCTGCGTCTGTATATATACGTTTCGTCTGCCTTGGGCTCTAAGAAAGAAGCGTTGGACGGAGGAGACGTCGCCGATCGGGTCAGCGCGTTGACGGAAGGGAGAATATTCTAGAACCATCCAGACGCGCTGACCTATCTTCTCTTCCAATAATTCGCCACTTTCATAGTTTGCACGTCTTCTCTTCATATTTCGTCGCGTGGGAAATACCCATGTAGATTAAAAATTATGTATGTACTTATTTTTTATTTGAATTAATTGACTGCATTCGGGGGAGTAAGTTCTTCTGGGCCTTCAATTATATTTAATGTTAAAAAAGAGAAGAATTTTAAATACTTATATACTTCTAAATTTTTGGATAAAATAATTATCATTTAATTTTAAATATATTATATAATAATTACGTTGGCGTCCTCGGAGGCGCCTCTCTAATAATTAATTAAATAATTAGTTTAAACAGAAGAACCTGCTAGAATTTTAAATAATTATTAATTAAAATATTTTAATTTTCAGAGGTGATATTACTTCGATACACGCCCCGCTCTGCCTTCACTTCTCTGTTGGGGTTGCGATGTCCTCACTGTGGGGCGGCTCCAAGCTCCTCCCCGCTCCCACCTTCTTGGAGGTCTCCCGGAGCCGTCGTCGGAGCTGCTCGATCTTCTTCGCTCTTTTCAGGTCTCCACCGAGCACTGGAGCTGCGAATTTCCGTCCCATTGCCTCCGCCTGCAGTGGCTGGAGCGGGACTAGCGGCGGCGTTATCCAAACCCTATCATCTTCTCAGCGAGAGCAGGTCGCTCTGTACGTCCGGGCTCTGCTGGAATGGAACCAGGTTAGGATTCTTGGCTGCGGTTTTTGAACGCTTGGTTGGTGTGTGTGTGGGTGATGGCTGGTTCCTGTCGCAGCGCATGAACCTGACGGCGGTCACAGACGAGAGGGAGGTCATGACGAGGCACGTGGAGGATTCTCTTGCCATCATCCCGCCCTTGCGTAGGTATTATCTCTCTCACAGCTGTGGCGGAGGCGGCGGTCGTGTGGATTCTGACTTCGGCCGCCTTAACGTCGTTGATGTCGGCAGTGGGGCCGGCCTCCCCGGACTTATCCTCGCCATTGCTTGCCCAAGTAAATTCCCTTTGAAACTGTTACCCTTTCTTACATCATATATGAGCACTGAGATTCTTCATGGCTTCAAAAAAATCTGTGACAGTTCTTCGAATTCTATCTGTCATTCACGCTTGATTTTTCTCTGAGCTTGAGGATTTTATGCAAGTGACTTAAGGCTACAGGAACATGTGCTAGCTATGCCTTTGAATCTCCTCCTTCAGGAAGATTTCCAAGAACACAGCGCCACTTCTGTTCAACTCCAAAGTTTTTCTTTTTTTAGTTCTATTGTCCTTGTAAGATCCCTGATTCTTGTGTGCATATGCCCGAAGGTAGCATACCATTTTTTTCCTTTAAATGGATCAATTGCATGAATTATCTTACCAAAACCTTGTTCTTCTGTTTCCATTCCCACGTTTACTTGCGGACTGCATTCAAACCATTATTAAGAGAGATTACGAGCCAGACTCTTCCCTCCCCGATTGATTTCTCCTTGACCATTGTAGACCTGTAGCCTCTTAGAGCCTTACCATGAACCGTCCACCATCCTGTCCGACACGTCTCCTCATAAATTGATGGATCGAAAGCTCAACTTTGCATTTAGTGGCTTTATCGAATGTTTGACTCTAAATGTATGACGAAGAAAAATATTAGTATTTACAAATTAAAGATATTGCTATTAAATTTTATATGTTGAAAGTGGGACATTTCTTATTATGGTTTCTGTGTAATGTGTTTAAAATTTTTGGTTCAAAGATTTTAATTCGTCTGCAAGGAAGTCCCTGATTCCATGATATGGTGTTGATTCCTTACTTTTTATATTATTCCAGTCGTTATATCATGCATTTCTTTACAATTCTAATGCAGATCTCCCATAATTTTCTAAACATTTCAGATTGGAAAATTACCCTGCTAGAGTCGATGCTCAAACGATGCTTGTTCTTGGAGCATGCAGTTGATCTCACTGGTTTGTCAAATGTGCAAGTTGTACGTGACAGAGCAGAGGTAATATCTTTTCCGTCTCCGTGCCTTTAGTAACTTAAGCTCCTCACATGGCCGATGTGCTTTAGGATCAAATCTTTGCTCTCTGGAGGCTTTCACAAGCTTTAGAGTTGCAACTTCAGGGTCTTGCAAGTGCTTTTTTGCCAACCTCCTGGCCATGTAGTCCAGTAGAAGGATAGAAGACATCATTTGCGATTATTGCTTTCTCCTAGCTGATGAGATGTCTTTTACTATTCTACGATTTTGTGAGTGTGGGGGCGGATTTCTGCCTGGTCTTTGAACAGGGTGAATTTGTGTTGAAAACCGGACATACCATCTCTTATGTAATTAACTCCCGCAAGTTGTGGAATTCAGTGTGGCCATTGATATTGTCCAAGGTGATGTTGAAAAGATTGCACGAAGATGCTCATCTAGCCCAGAAATTCTCATGAGCTTCCGTGCTTGATTATTTGATCTTTTCTTCACTCTATCTTCAGTTTCCTCTCTCACCTTTCACGTCCCACCTCTCAGATTCTGATGCAAGCTGGGTATGATAGCTCACGCTTTTTAGGATTTACACAAGCTTAATTCATTAAAAAAAATTCAATTGTCGGTTTTCCATCCTGAATCTTGGTGGTGAGGTTCCCGTCCATTCAGAAGGCCACGAGATGGATTGATTCCTTCTTCATCAAATGGGTTCTTCTACAGTGCAAGTTGTCGGAAACTTTCCCTTGGTGAGTTGTTCTTGGATCACTGAGGCTGAAGTCAGTGTGTCTCACCCATGCTCTTCATACTTCTATTTAGACTTTTATATGCCCTAATTATTTGGCTAGCTCATTATTCCATTGTTAGTAATTGCAAACATCAATGGCTCATAAACCTTTTTTCCTTTTTGAATGGATATACTATTTTGTTGCTTTCTAAAAGCTAGCCACTTGTGTGCCAATTAATCCATCTATGAACCATTTTTTATAGGACAGAATGCAGGCCAGAACCTGGACTTCAGAGAAGCCTTTGACGTAGCAGTCGCTAGAGCTGTTGCAGAGATGAGAACCTTAGGTTCTGGATTTCTTTTGTTTGATTTATTTATTTATTAACGCTGATGTCCTTCTTTCAATAATCATATCTGAGGTGAAATATATAACGCTATGATATTGCTTGCTGTTCCAGCTGAGTACTGCCTCCCTTTGGTACGTGTCGGTGGCTTATTTGTTGCGGCCAAAGGCCATGACCCACAGGTAATTTCCTTTGGAAGCTCATCAATTGGTAGATATACAGCATTTTGGTCCGTATTTTCTGGGCCTGAAGGGGAGAAAAGCTGGACGGTGTTGACAGTTTTTTTGTTTGAAACAATGTCGTATAAAAAGATTTTAAATGAATAATTTGGGCTACGCATTAGAAATATCTTGTTATGTAGATTCAATGTTGAAATGGGCTGAGTGGGTATCATGAAAAAGAATCCATGGGTCTTCATCTTCAATCGGTGTGAATCAAATTTCTTCATTCCTCTCTCTCTCTGTCTCTCTGTCTCTGTCTCTGTCTCTCTCTCTCTCTCTCTCTCTCTCTCTCTCTCTCTCTTGGCTATGTATGTACATATACATGTGTTCACTTCGGCAGCATTTTCTACAGGAAGAAGTAGAAAGTGCCAAGAACGCAGTGAGATTACTGGGAGCTTCTGTTATAGACTTGTGCTCAGGTATGCCATCCTCACATCATTTATGATGTCATTTCACTTCAATCGTAGTAGTTTCACGTGGAATATGTGACGTAATGTTCTGAAGAACATATCATTGATCACCTCTCTCCCCCTGGCTCATATAGTTTGATCTTTCCCTTCTATATTTGTTCCATCTCATGTGTTTCTATTATTTAGGCATCTTCTCACTCCCACCTCAAGTACCCCGACACCAACCAAACTAACCAGAATCTGTGTGCTCCGCATCTCCTAGTGGAGTCTCAGGGACCCCATGGCAGGCGGACAGCCGTTATCTGCCACAAAGACCGCGCCACGCCAGCAAAGTATCCCCGTCAACCTGGGGTTCCAGCGAAGACGCCTCTATGAGATGTGATCTCCAAAGCTCAAGGATATTCTTACACAGCTGAGGATGTGAGTTGCTTAGAACTCATCTCGCTACTCTCATTCTATGTGCGGCATGGAGGGTTATCATCTCTCTTATTGTTGGTATGTATACAAGATTGGAATTCTCTCTCAAACACCTCCTTGCTCATAGCTTTCTTCTACATGAACCGTTGTGGATTTTTTTATGTAAATTTTAACGATTTTAGTACCTAGTTCTTCTAAAATTTTGAAAATTTTGACAATTTCTCTAGCTTCTTGGGATTAATTTCATAATTAAATGGAAAATTTGTTGATAGTCCTGCATATTTCCTAGATGGCTCAATTGAAGTGTGGTTTGAAGTATGTTAAGAAGTGATCCAATATGCAAAAATAATCAACAACTGTTTATTTTACACAGAAAATAAGTGATGCGTAGTTAATTTGGCTTATTTTTCATGATATTCAAAGTGAGTGTTCTTTATTTAAGCAGATTACTAATGAATGTCATTGCAGCATAAAGGTCATGAACCGGACCACTAAAAGTCATTTCCTATCATAAAGTATTGGGTTATTTAATTTGGAATAAATCAGGAAGGTATGTACCCAGACAATGTAATCATTCTATATTTTATTTATTATTTTCAATGTGTTACTAGGTTAGATATCGCTATTTGACCTAGGAAGTCACATCAGAGAAACGTGTCTTAGAATAGTAGCACATACGTTTCTAGCTTATTAAATTGAATAAGATTCAAAAGAAATAAATAAATTGAATAATTATCATTACATTGGAGCTGCTCCAATATTTACACGTCCCTCTACCGTTGAATGCATATGGTCAACTGTGTAATCGAGGCAATGAAATTGACTTACTTGATAGTTTTTGAAGCACACTACTAGCTTCCTTGATAGTTTCAAATGAATTAATAAACAATGTGATGGAACATTGTGAAAATATAATAAATTAAAATAAAGCAAAAAATAATATTTCTGAACTCATGTTGCCAAATTCCCATTGGAGGATCAAAGGCATAGAGTTGACATCGACATAAGTTGAGTGCTGGAGGCCATAGATAGCATGAAGTAGTTGTACATCAGGTCAACTCATGCCACTCCAGACCAGCCCACCACCAAACACACGACAGGACCGCACTTGCCCTCAATGGGGACATAAAAGTAATAGTTTTAAACGGTTTTTTTGTAATAATCGTAAATCAAATATATGGGCCATCTGCTTCTTTGACGAAGAAGGATAATTGTACAAATTTCGTAAATTTCTCCAAATTTCTAAGGCCGTTGCCTGGTTATGTCCGAAAGCGCATTCTAATCGTTACGGGGGTCTTTCCCCTACGGTTGAGGATATGTGCGTAAATTTTTATTAGTGTGGGGATTAAGTGATATTGTCAATAATGTCCAGCCACAGTGGTTAATTTTCTCATCGGTACAGTCGCAAAAGACTTACGGCCGGCTGCGTTTAATATTATTATATAAATCGCCACCCGAAGGGTTTCTAGGGTTCCTATTCCACGGGTTATCAGTGGCTTGGTGTTTCAGTGGGCGTCGGCGCCTGCGCTGCTTCAGAGGGCGGAGATGGTGAAGGGACGGCAGGGAGAGCGCGTCAGGTTCGCTGTGGTTGATTTTCTCTCGCTCTTCTTCTTACCTCGGCTAGAAACTGCAAGATAACAAATGTTTGCTGGCGCGGGGCAAGTCAAACCCCTCGGTTGGGATAGCGAGACTCCGTTCGATTATCTATTCGTTGGCGGTTTCGCTTCTGAGTTGCATTATTTTTTGGTCCCGTTTGCAGGTTATACGTCCGTGGGACGATTCTCGGATACAAGAGGCAAGGGCCTTGATTCGCTTTTTTCAGAGTATACATTGGATTAGCTTGCAGCAATGTCTGCCAGTGGTCATAGTCTCCTTTCGTTGTGATTGTGCTCGTTGCGGAGTTCTTCTGAAAATATGAAATTCGTTTTCTTTTGAATGTGTCAGATCGAAGTCGAACCAGTGTGAGAACACTTCTCTAATCCAGATCGAGGGTGTTAATACCAAGGAAGAAGTAGTGTGGTATTGCGGTAAGCGCATGGCTTACATCTACAAGGCAAAGGTGAAGAAGAATGGGTCTCACTATAGATGCATATGGGGAAAAGTCACCCGGCCCCATGGAAATAGCGGTGTTGTTCGTGCTAAGTTTAAGTCCAACCTCCCTCCCAGATCCATGGTAAGATGGACCTACTTGTCTTTTGTTCATCTTTTTTTTGACGTGATATGTTATGTTTCCTTATATGTTTTGCTTCTTATTCAGGGTGCAAAAGTCAGAGTTTTCATGTACCCGAGCAACATTTGAGGTGAGACCTCTTTATATGATAAAAGTTTGATTTCCATTGAAAGTATCCCGATTTAGTTCCATGCAGGGAATGCAGCTAACGTAAGTAGAATATGCTGTTGTTTCCTTCTCGTTCAATAATTGATGAGAATTTGATATAAGCACAAGAAAGCATACTAGTAGTATCTGTTCTAAGTAGTTATTAGTTGGCTGCGAGAAGGAAATGCGCTAGAACTCCATTCAGTTGTTTAATTCCCAGAGGAACATTCATTGCCGCATAATTTTTTCCCGATCCGTCACTTGTTGACGAGGGAATATGCCCTGGCTCTCTTGCCCACTACCAGATCCATAATGTTTCCAGTGTAGATGTGTGTTGACTTTGTGATGCTGCTCCCTAGGCTGTGGCTCTGACGTTGGTTTGTGGACTAGAGACTTTGATCCGGTAGTTGAAGACAACCCTTGGCTGTCTGACCATACTGACTCCTGCCAATCAAATCCCTATATTTTTTCGTTACTGAAGTGGCGTGGTCTAATCCGATTTGATTTTTTTCTTGTTGCTATAAGGCTACTGATGTAGAAATGTCTAGGCTCAGTGTTGTTCCCCTCTTGTCTTCTGTCTTCCCCAACCTAAGTTGTGATGTGATGATGCTCTTTGTGGATCAGAGTTCCTGATCAAGTGGTTGAAGAGTTCCCCACCCTTGGCTGTCTGACCACATTCACTCTTTCCTCTTTAATCCGTAGCCGTTGATCCGCTTATGTTTATTCTTTTCCGTATATCAGCTATTTGTGTGACAATCTTTCATATATAGTTTGGAGTGTACAGCTTTTTCTTCATTTCTTATAGTGAGTAATAATTATTTAATGTGTTCCTAACAGGAACTCTTGTTATATTGCTGTACAGCAGCTGTTTGAATAACGAAGAAGGAAAATGTTAATTAGAGATTTGGCAGTAGAAACACAATCATACTGTACAAATTAATTTAAATACACGCATATGTTATCATGATCTTTATTTCTATATCATTATAATTTGTAGACATCGGTACTCATAAAAAGTTTTCCCAAAAGGAATTTATGTACAAAAAGTTATTGTTTTTAAACCCGTGTGAATCTTAAATTATTACTGAAGTGTGGCATCTTCTGTAACCTTGTTTGAACATCAATAATCTTTTTAGGAGCATTCGATACCCTGTCTGACTTCGGATTGCCAAACCTTAAGCACCCTAGAGAAATCACCCGTTGTTTACCCCTGCTTCATGCAAATTTCCTCTTATCCATCTTTATTAGGAAAGTTTTTCCTGGATAGCCCTTCCCTCGTCTCTCTCGCTCTCTTTCTCGCTCTAGTGTGGTATGAGTTTATGGAGAGCCGTGTGTTCTGATGTTTTGCGACCCTTTTTTTTCAGTGAGCGTGAAGGAAAGCGTGGAGTATTATGTATGCAATCCAATCATCATGCGAGAGCAGCTCAAGGAACCCGCCCATTTCTGTTCGCCCGCTTTCCCTATTCGGCAATTTTGATTGATCCTAGTTTTGAACTCGGTTTCCTCCCCAAAACAAAAAGCATGTCTATTCTCAAACATTTGTCTGAACTTGGCTTCCACCCCAAAGCCTTTTCTTCATCCATCCCTGACGACCACTTGAATCCACACTACTAAATCTTCTCCATAACAAAAAACCCAAGCAGAACACGCATTCTATTGCCTGCGCCTGCACTCGTAAGACGTTCTATTGGCAGAACATGGGCGACCCTTCCACACGAGCAACTGTAGAACTTAGTTCTTATTCTTCTCATTCACCGTCCAGAGTTGATGCCACGCATCTCCAATCCGAGCGTGTGCCAGAGGACGGATGATCTCTTTACTTGAGCAGAAGTGGAATCTGAGCGAGGACCCATCATCTCTTTAGTAGCTCCTGTAGGCGAGTCAGCCGAGGGGGAGGGCGGTAACAGATGGAAGAGGCGATCTCGTATCTTTCTGTTCCTGGGCGGGGCGGGAGATTAAGAACGAAGCTGAGATTATTCCGATTCACCGTCCAGAGTCGACCACGCGCATCGCCAATCTGAGGAACCTTCTCTTTACAGGCAGGCTCGTGTCGGTGAGAGTGGAGGAAACAAATAAGAAGGCTGGCTATACATACACAGATTAAGCTAGCTGCCGGCGTCGAGGTGGGTCAAGTCAGCAATTCGCCGGCCGCTCGTAGGTCGGCGGGAGCGAGGGGCAGTGCTCGTTCATGTAGGCGTACGGCCGGATGGTGTTGTACTCTGGCAGCTCCATGCGGTACTCCCCGAGGATCTGGCAGAAGGGGACCTTCCCGTCGTTGCACCATCTCGGGAGCCGAGTCTGGTTGTCCTCGTATATCCTCAGCGTGTACGCGTCCCGGATCTGCAGACCGTCTCGTTATTTCCCAGCTCACTGGACTTTGATAGATAAATAGAGCTGACATCAGAGTGTGTGTGCAAGTCGAGAGGAGGGGGAACTTACGGTGAATTCGGTGACCTGGATGGAGCTGGAGAAGGGTTCGAAGATGCCCGCCGCCTTGTAAATCCCGAGAATGAAGGCGACGCAGGTGGTGGACTTGCCGTCGCTATAGACCCAGTCGTCCTGCTCAGGGATCGTCAGCAGGTGGTCCAGGGTGATGCCGCGTCTCTCTGCCTCGGCGAGTATGTGGTGCAAGCTAAGCTCCTGTTGAACAAGGGGGACACAAACAAGGGACCCGTCACACATTTCTTCATCCAATGCAGATCAACAACCTCCAACTCTGGCCAGGTTTCACTAATCAAAATAGATAAGAAAGCTGCTCAGTTGATGGGCCCACAAGACAGCGGTTTGACCTGTTACTGTTTACTTAATGAATAATACTTTATTTCCGTTTAATAAACAAATCACAGATAACCTCTAGGATGGTTCCAGTTCTAGACCATGATATTATGCAAGTGAGTCAAAGGTCATCATCATCTGGGAGGCAGCTTGCCCATCGGAAAAGGAATCCAAGCGGTTGAGTAAAATGATGATAAATGACGATCATTGAGGTCCCGCCCACGGAAACGAAATATGCTAATTTCTGATAAACTTTTAGCTGTCATCAACAAATAGCCGAGAAAAAATATTTCGGCTTAACGAACCAACATCAGTGGTGAAAACTGTGTACCATCCTACCTTCGTTCCAAGCCTCTTGTTAAGGGCTTCATCCAGCATGTTGGCTGCATAGGATGGCTGTAACCTCGTCCACATTGACAGAATAGAAATCACCTGTCACCCCCAGAGAGAGAAAGGAATACATCAAAATCTCAGTATTTCGAGGAAATTGATGAAGAAGTGTGAAATTATTAAGAACATCCATGATCCAGCAAAAAGGACAGAAAAGGTCCCATCTTTTCACTCTCCCTCAATTATTCCTTCAGCAAAATTCAAGATAGATCTCTATATAAAATGTTGCATCAGAGAAAAAAGAAATCAGCAATTTCATATGGACAGGGTAAGATTGAAAACTAATATTCCGCCAAGTACGTAGCAAAACCTTGGTTTTTTCGTCATTACAGCCTAGTGCACGAAAAGATAACTCTTTAACAGTGTGTAGCTATAAATGTTCCATAGCACTAACCGTTTCCCATCTCATATTTTTTCCACTGTTTGCCCAATATTAGCGCAAGGCAAATGCATATCAAGTACAATTATCCGACAAATGTTCAATTCAATGTCTGATGATCAGTTATTTTCAATTTTTTATCATCGGCAAGTCCACACACCTTTGTTGGCCTCCATTTTTATTCACAAGGTGCATCTCTTTTTGTTCCATGAATGTAGAAAGATAATAGTCTAACCAGAGGATTTTGCACCAAAATGGGGGCCATATATAAATTATAACTAGTCAACAGGGATGATAAGTAAATGGAACCCAAGTAAATTAAATGAGTAAAGCTCAACAGAACATGCCAGCAAAATTGTCACCTGCACACATACTAACTATTAGCACCAAACGCAACGTCAACCAACTAAACATTTTGATTCGTTATAAGCTGTGAAGAGAATTTTTTTTATTAAGATTGAGATTTCAATTGCATTTTCACATAAACTTTCCATAAAACCGATCAATTGGTATGAATAGAAAAGAGAAGCCAAAAAAAAGAAAAAAAAACGCGAGTTAGATCATTATAACTTGTCAAAAAACCTGTTATTTACTCACCTGGTTACTATCACAACCAAATATCCAAGGATTAATTTTTTCAACAAAGTAAACATTTTAAAAAAAATTAAATAATGGTACGAAGAGTAACAAATCATTAGAACTGAGACTTTCAGTTACACATTCACAACAATCGGGACACAGCCTCACCTTTCACCCTTTCATACCATTCAGGATCATATTTTATATGAAGAATTGGTTCTAACATAAAGGTGCATTTAAACTCTGACACTACAGTTTTTTTAAACACAAAGGCCTCTCCAGAGAAAAACTTTAAAAGCGTTGTGGGAATTAGTACATCCTTCATATCATATCGTAATATTGAAGAGATAAATGAAAGAGCCAAAAAAAAGTCAGGTTTGAAAGCCAAGTTCTAAACCATAGAATCGTGGGCTCAAACGATTCACATGGAAAGTGAGAAAATACAATGCCAAATTTTGCAGATGTTGAAGAATGAACAAGGAGAAAGTGTAAAATCTATTACTGCACTATGCTTGTCAAATTCAGAACCATACCAAGTTAGAGTCAAGAGGTGGGGGATAATTGTCCCCAATTGTATCAATCCAGCTGAATATCATATTATGGTAACCATAGGGCTGTCCTGACATGCTTCGAGCATATTCCCATGCTGCTGTAGAGTTGAACTTCGCACGCACATCTGGATGCAAAGGAAGCAATGCAATTTGTGGGTTTGAACTGTCTTTAAGTGCCTCTGCCCACCACTCATCCCAAGAAACTATTGCTATAATTTCCTCTCCCTGTATAGAAATGTAGAGTGGACCAAAAAAAAGGGTTAGATACAACACAAAACCTCGACAGTGATGACCAGAAAATGCCAGCTACCGTACATTTCCATAGGTTCCATCTATTCCTTTGGCAACTGTCACATATTGTAAATTAAAACTATTTACCTACCAAGCCCATCCAAAAAAAGCCTTGAATGGAAGGTTAGGCCATAAATAGTATTAGAATCATGCCTCAATACTTCAGTTTCAAAGACGAATTATTGAACATCGTGAATGTACCTTTTCATTTTCATGACCTGATTCACCAACCCAAAGATTGCCATCTTCATCTTTTAAACAAATGGCAGTATGTCCCGCAAATGCTCCGGTTACCCATTTTTCTAGGCTCTCAAATCCACCCCAACGACCACGGATTTTTGAAATAGCCAAAAAATCTCCTGAATGTACATCAGCCACACTAATGTTTGCCTGCCAAGGCTGGGGACGTTTTTCAAATGAAGCCCCCATATGCTTCTTTAGAAAAGCTATATTGGCATTCTGCCCCCACAAAGTGTTTGAAAATAGAGGTAGGACATCTATGAGAGAGAGCAGAGTGCCAAGCATCCCAGATTGCATCAAAAAGATTGCTACTCCATGTTGTTTCACCTGATCAAACATCCCAAAAGCGTCAGTATCCTGTGGCAGTATTACATAAAATATCCAAGTAAAAGGAAACACAGGATGTAGAAAGAGACATATTCGAGTTCAGCCGGTTCTTCCCACGACTTGATCTCCAAGGTATGCTCACGAGTAGAGAAGTAATAATCCCACATAATCCTGTATGGGGTTGCAAATACATACAGATCCATGCAAGTCCAGCTGTGGGCTGCATCTGTCTGCAGAAAAGAATGGGAGTAGAAGAGACCGTCTTAAACACACAAGCATTGATAAACTATGCCCTTTGTCAGCAAAGGACACAAATCCAATATTTAAAATCTAATGAAGAATTCCAAGTAAATATAAGCTCAATTTTAAAGAAACAGTAATATCTAAATACAAATAATTTTCACAGCTACCGACATTGACTCAACATTAATAGTGTACTGTAGCACTCTGTTAGTTGATTGTACAGAGATCATCAGGGAAATTATTCTGTTCACCCACCTAAGTTCATCAAGGAAGCTTTTTCTTGTACCAACAATGAAAAAGATTGTAGAAAACGATTCAGTAAATCATACGACATACTGATCCCAATCAACTGATGCGGGGTGGGGAAAGTGAAAAGGAAACTTGGCCCACACATGAAGGGTAAAAAGGGAAACCACAAAGATGTGACAACCCAGCTAATTCTTGACACGGTAAAGGTCACATGGTACACGTCGTGTGCATAACTCTTGCAGAGTTCAGATGTTAAAACCTAGGAACTTCTGGAAAAAAAAAATGATTCTGATATTATGTCCACATCTTGAATACCATAACTGAGTCGTGTTTGCCTAAACAATGTTGTTGCGATTTTGTTTAGAATATAAGAAACATACAAGAATCCTGTGATCCCATGGGGAATCAAAATCAAAACCGCTCCTGATATTTGGGACAAAAAAACAAGGATCTGAATTCTATGATCCAAATTCGTAGTTTATCTTGAATTGATTAAAATTTGATCTAAGAAAATAAACCCAATAGCAAATAGATTCTACTTGACTAAACGGCAACTTGCTAGACACTCTTTTGTTTAACTCAAAATCTTGACTACAGTGTGTGGGTCCAAAACCATAAGTATGCACTGGGCCGCAATGTATGGGCATGCTCTCCTTTTCATGAAAAAATCCAAGGAACTCGCTGCAGAAACCAAATTGGTTTTGTGAAAATTCCAAAGACAATAATTTCCCAGGCGACAAGACTCCCCAAATCAGGTCATCATTAGGTTTACCTGACTTGTGTGTTTTGGTAGATGTATCGGATATGCATGTCCTTGTTCCCGTTAAATGTGATTTGGTAACAACAACTAATCATTTGTACAGGCATGTCAGATATAATGAAGAGGATTGAAAGAATTAGAAATCAATGAAAAATGTTTTTTATACCGAGAAAATAGGAGGAAATTGCTCAAAATTATGCAAAAGTAACTTGATAGTATTATTATTATAAAAAAATGACATCTGTTTCATAATCATTATATTTCAGTATATGTTCGATGGTATGAACATATAGCTACTAAAGGTGTGACACCCCAACAAAAGAATCTAGAGATGGCATCATTAGATTTCAGTAAATTATACTAAAACCAGGCCACATTTGCCAAAACAAGCAGCTAATGGTATAACAGATAAGATACGTTGCAACAGCAATAACAGTTTGATAAGTGATAATGAACATAAGCTACGATCTATCAAATAAATAGCCGTAACATATCATTACTCCAGCGCCATCAGTCCTCTGAACAATTCATAGATCCAATGACTGGTCTCTCTTTTTCCTAGGGCAGGCAGATTGCCAATTTTCTCTTTTTTTGTTATTTTTTCTGTGAATTTATACTTTCTTTAAATATCAACAGTTCTTTGCCGAAAAATATCCAGTCAAAAGATGGGGTTTTAGAACGAAGTCATCACTGTACCGCCCCATGCTCACAGAAAATAAGGGCAAAGAGGGTGGCAACGTCTTAAGCAGAGCCATCGAACATTTCTTGAGCATTAATGGAAATGACTCCTTGGACAAACTGAGATCTACTCTGTGACGAGAAAAGTTCCTCGAAAGAAATGAAACATCATATGCTTGGTTTCGACAAGAAAAATTGAGCGCATAATTAGATCAGCAGGAACACATGCCTTGAGGTGGAGAACCCCGCCACCAAGGTCATCACCACGGTCACCGCTCGTAAACTCTAGCCGCGCCTCGTTATCGAGGAAGCAGGTCCCCTTCCAGCCAATCGTTCCGTTCTCAGGCGCGACGGAGCCCACAAACGACGGCAGCAGGTCGACGGCGCTGTGGAGATTGTTGAGCACTGGCCACGAGACCTGCCGCGGAAGGACCGGGAGCAAATCCTTCACCCTGAGTGGGACCTTCAGCGGCTGCGCCACCGGCACCCAGTCCAACCCTAACCCTAGGAGGAACAACCCCAAGGCCAAGAACGCCCGGGGACTCCCGCAGCGGCGCCCCAGCATCTTCAAAGAACAGCGCCCGCCCCTTCCTCCGGCCGCCTCGGGGGCGACCGACCGGCCTCCGGCGATGGACCCGTCTCCTCGACGGCACCAGAGAAGGGAAGGGCCGCTGGACGAAGGGATCGAGAACGCGGATCAGAGAGATTAAATATGGCCGGGAAGTAGATATAACTGTTTGATGATCTTCGAATCTTCTGGACCCTTTCTTGACATCCTTCTTAAATAGACCTTCAAAGGCGACGGCGACGGCCGACGGCGACGACACGTCAGATCTGATCTGGCATTTGCTCCCCTGCCACGACTTCCCTCTCCGACTCTCCAGGAAGCAATAGTAGATATATATAGATATATATATATATATATATATATATTGCATCAAGAAGGTTTACCTATACGATGCCGATTGATCAAGAGTTGAAGATCAGTACAAAGATTTTTTTATTTGGATCACAGCGAAAAACGAGACGTAATTTATTAATTGTCGAGAGAGCATCGTTGAACCTATAGAGGTATGAAAAAAATTTAAATACTAGTATGTGAAATATGTAAATGCAACTTAATATTTGGGGATCGGAGCAATTATACATTCTTGGCGGGAACTGCGGCTTCAATTGCCTCCTATGCGAGGAGTGGCGGAGATTACCGGCCATCGGCGGTTTACCGGTTCGATAACGACAAAAGTGGACAGGATTTTGTAAAATTTTCAAATCTCCTCAATCGTCTCCTATATAAAGTGGTCTGTCCCGCTGAACGGTCCGTCATATGTTCCCGTTTGAACTTGCTCGCCCTCGACTTTCCCCGGTCGCCGTTTCCTCTCTCTCTATCTCTCGGGATGCTTCGGGAGGATCGTAGACGAGAAAGGCAGAAGAGATGGAACCAGAGAGCAGAGGGAGCAAGTATAGCAGGAAGGAGAAATCTCTGGGCCTCCTCTGCACCAAGTAAGGCCACATTCGCGGTCTTCGCTCCTGCCCCTCCTTCTTCTAGGCGGATGAACCTAAGTCCCTTTTTTCTTGTGAGAGACGACTAAATTCTGTACGCACGTCTGATATTTGGAATCTGCAGTTTCATGAATCTGTACGACACGAACGGGGTCGATTTGGTGTGTCTGGATGACGCCGCAGGTCGACTTGGCGTCGAGAGGCGCCGCATATATGATATCGTGAACGTCTTGGAGAGTGTTGGGGTGGGTTACGTTTTTCGCATTTGGCTTGTTGTTGTTGGTCGCTGTTGTTTTTACTGATACGACGGTTTCTTGTGTTGTCTTGCGATATTTGCATGGTCCATTTCTTTCAGGTTCTTGCTAGGAAGGGCAAAAACCGGTATACGTGGATAGGTTTGTGCGGAATTCCCCAGGCGTTGAAGAATCTCAAGGTTACAAGTCTCTTAGAGGGATGTGGGAGGACTAGAGGGTTCTCGACGATTTTTTTTATATTTTCCCAGATATTCATCTTTTCTTTTTCCTTTTTTACCATTTCTTGCTTATTGATAACGTAGGAAGAGGCAATGAAGGAAACTAACGGCAATCGATTACCAAAACCTGCTCCATTAGTCGAAGTGAGTGAAAATGGTCGACGTTGTATGACGGTGTATTTGTTAAAATTGGGAGGATCAATATTCGATGATGCAAATTTAAGACCCCTTTCTTTCCGAATGGTTTGTAAAGTATCCAGACGATGAAGCAGAGGAAGACTTATCTCCACGGATCACAGGGTTTGGGGAAGATAGAACTAGCCACAACTCCTCCATTGCTCTTGGAAGTGTATATTCCGAAGGTGGATCTGGTGAGCCTCCGCTCTCGGTTTTTCTGTCCAATATATCATTCTGCTAAACACTTAATTGCGTCTCGTTTCCCTTAAATTAGATTAGGATCGTACTATGCATCAAAACTGGGATCCTTGCGTTCACATTCGCGTGTAAATTATTAACTTAAAATACATAAAACGAAGAAAATTAAAAAACGTGTTTGTAAAATGTGCTTGTTGTTATTTTACTCGAATTTTTCTTCACACTCTTTTGGATGATATTTCTAGGTATGGAGAACAGAAGAGAGAAGTCCTTGGGTCTGTTTACCCAGAACTTTGTTAAGTTGTTTCTCGTTACTGATGTAAGGATCAATTGACACCAATCTTGTTTTATTTTTCCTTAGTTTACGTTTTCTATGACTGCATGAGTATTTTCAAATTCATATATTTTTAAAAAAAGGCAACAGTAATCTCTCTTGATGAAGCTGCAAAATTGTTGTTCTGTGATGGTTATTCATCTCAAATAAGAAGTAAGTACATCTACCTCCTCGTATTTTAATTCGATTTTTCCATTCACTTAATTTAGTACTTGTTGTTTTTCTTCCTCAAAGACAATGTTGCAAAAGTTCGGCGACTTTATGACATCGCAAATGTGCTGTCATCATTGTCTCTGATAGAAAAGGTAACGTTAGTGCCCTTTGTTATTAACATCGAAAGGATATATTTGTTATTTTACTGTTTTTTTATTACTACAGGCACATGATTCTGAAAGCAGAAAACCAGCATTTAGATGGCTAGGTTTCAATGGGAAGCTACAGAATGCTGTGACAGAGGCTCCTGGTGAAACCTCAAGGCAGTTGAGTAGAAGGACATTTGGCTCAGACATCACCAATATTGATACTAAGAAAAAGAAGCCGACGGCAGTGCAGAGAAAAAGTAATGTTATAAAGGAACGCAATCTTACAGTACAGAGACAGCTTCAGACCCCTCCTAGTTATGTTTTTGGACCATTCTGTCCTGTTAGGGTTGATAAAAAGGACAAGGACCCAGAGGTGATACATGGGAAAATGAATTGTGATTTGGAGACATTGACAACTTCCTTTCACCCGCATTATCATAACCAAGGTATCCTCATCTTTCACATGTCATTCTGTCATGTTGAAGGTTATCTTTTCTGTTATGGACTGTAGTTGTCATTTGCTCTTTGTATTATACTTTTTGATGGTCACGATTTTTAATGTAACCAACTGATGATTCATTCATCCTTTTCTTCTATTTTTTCTTGCATTTTTTACTCAATTAATTAGTGCATTTATGTTGGGATGTTGACATATCTGTCCTATATTTGGAATATTACGTGTGGTTTTACAAAAAATGAATTAACTGTAAGAGTGTTTGCAATTTACATGCCTCACCTACTTGTCTTTTTGCATTCAATGATCAAAGTTGCTAATGAAATTCTTCCATATATTCGTCTATCAATGACTAAATTGAATGTTGATAATATTGTAAATGAGCAATCATTATCTATTTTTTGTTGGTTTTTCTTTTGATTTGCATTGCACTTCTTGAAATAATATCTACCTTTGGTCAAATAAAGTTGTTGGCCACTTAAAACCTATAAGATTGGTAAAGAAGGATGAAGAGCTTGTGGATTTTCATGAGTAGAAGTATTTGTGAAAGAAAATTGTTGAAAACTAATACAATAAATCTTGTTAGGATAATCACATTAATCTTAACCTTGTTGTTGATTTTTCTATACTTTTGATCTAAAAAGTACAATGGGTGTTTACACAAGATTAAGTTTACATACAATGGATGGTGATATTCACATGTTTATGTACTTCATTAAGTTGCTATGGTCACGAGGTTACTGGGATTCAATTTGTCTTTGATAAATTTTTGGGCAAGCTTAAATTATAGTTTTGCAACAAAGTAGTCCTACAAAGGACAAATAAATTTTATCTACCTTGTGATTTTACTTAAATGTTATTGCTGTCATTCTTGTTTTGATAGTTACTCGCATGTTATAATTTCCTCAATGTTAAGTAACATGAATGTTTTGAATTATTTTTACTTGTGTGAAAGCTAAATTGGTTCACACTTTTGTAAATACATTCTTTTCTATTATCTTAATATACTTGTAAGGGATTTTCACTATTTATGAGAATCAAAACTTGTTGAGAATATAGGTTTCATGTGAGAGCCATCCCCCTTCTATTTCTCTCTTCCCCCTCTCTATCCATAAATCAATGTATCTTCACTTCAATTATTTTAGTTGTAAACAATCCCTTTTTCTTTTTCTTTTTTCAGTTTCCTATCTAATGTTTCTTATCTCACATAGCTTTGAGTGATCTTTTTGCCCACTACGTGGAAGCATGGGAGTCATGGTATTTTGAGGTTGCTCACGGAGTTAGCGATCTTTCAAAGAAGTTATGAACTGCAGATGACTAAATGAAATGAACATTTATGCTATGAACGTTTACATAGTTACCATATGTTCAGTTCATATTATGGCCTATGGTTTATTTATATTCATAAACTTTATTTATCAATCTCTCGTAATGAAATAACTAACTTATTATTATTAGTAATTACATAGAAGATTACTTTTGTAGAAAAAAGGTTGATTTAAGTGACTACCCTAATCACTCCATCACAAAATAGCTCACTTATAATAATAATAATAATAATAATAATAATAATAATAATAATCTTTTCCAAGTATTTTCATGCGTTATTTCTAGTATCACCTAATGCAATCGCCTTTCAGTTTCATGTTATTTGAGGTCATTTATCTATCTTATCAAATCATGCTTCACTTTGAGGTTTTGTTAGGATCCGGTGCATTACTGTTAGCATGATCAGATCCAAGATGTTACCTGCAGCCGCAGTTCAATGTCATGCCATCGTCCGGCTCCTCTGGGTTCTACTCCTGCTTAATTTCGTGGTTTTCATGAAATTTGGTGGATTACTATTGCTATATTTCATGAAACGAATAGAGCGAGAGAGAGAGAGAGAGAGAGAGAGAGAGCCTATTGAAGTCGGGACGGCGACGGATGGTGATCTTCAGTTTTACACACCCACCCTACCTGAAATAGGAATAATATTAGCTGAAGAAAGTGCCCAGCAGGTTGCATAGCTTTGAATCTCTCTTGCGTACAGTCGTGAATTCTCACCAGCCTAAATGACTACGCCTGGGCTCCTCTCGACGCGTAGGCTCACCCGTCCTTTGATAAAAAGATATCTTCTTCTGCACTCAGAGACGCTTTCGGCCTTTTCTAGGCTCCGCACGTGGTAAGGCGCGTTGACTGGGCCGCCTCTGCCCACATGAGACATCCAACTTTAGCAACGGTTTGAACCTTCCCTTGGATTCCGTTGACCAACCCGACAAAATCAAATCCTCTTTTAACTACAATTAATATCTATTCCAGCAATTACTCGAGCATTGACTTTTTAGGAACGGGTGGTATCTTCAAAGACACCTTGACGCTCCTTTTCCTCGAAGGGTCTTTTCGCGGTTGCCCCGCTCTCTACGCAATGCTCGATCATTGGGGTTGACTGAGTTTGGACCGATGTAGAATGAATGAGTGGGATATCAACAATTGCGTCTCTCTCTCTCTCTCTCTCTCTCTCTCATGCAAACAGAAGTTGGAATTGGATGAAATAAGAAAGAATGAATCCAAGGTACATGTTTCTGGCGTCGTTGTTCTTCTCACTCTTCTATGAACTTCTTGGGTGTGTAAACTGTACAGAGAAATCCTCCAGCTCCATTCAGAAGTCATCCTCCGAGTCGCTGCTGCTCTCCGACATCGACGACCTCGAGCTCTCCGACATGAAACGCGCCGGCAGATTGGGGAACATCGTCACCGGCTTCTTCTCCCGTGCCGGGGGCTCTCCCCCGCTGCCGCTGCTCGGCGGCTTCCGCTTCTTCTGCTGCAGGTTCCTCGCGATCTCCACGCAGGCCTGGTCGACCATTCCGAGGAAATCCTTGACGATGATAAAGAGCTGCAGAGGGTGGGCCGTCCTGTCCTGCGAATAGCCCACCATGTAGTACTCCGTCGTCTCCTTCACCATCTCCATCACCCTACTTTGCTCCGCCGAGAGGATTTTCAGCTCCGCCTCCGCCCTCTCCAGGAAGGCCCCCAACTCCTTCACGAACCCGCCGCCGCCGTCGCCGCACGAGGCCAGCACCCGCCTCAACTTCTCCACGCGCGCATTGAGGGATGTGCATGCGCTCATCAGCCCCTCGACCTCTATCCCCGCCGCCTTCTTCACGTTGGCGTACTCCATGCTCAGCCCCCCCACGACGGGGAGCCCCAGCGTCAGGTACTCCGCCTCCTTCTCCTCCCTCCTCGCGGGGCCGCCGCCGGCGGAGGACACGGTGGAGGTAGAGCGGCTCATGGTGCGGCCGAAGCTGTGGTTGCGGTTGACCACGCAGCGCTTACCCTCGCTGCGGACGACGGATTCCACGACGAAGTGGAGGAGGGTGGTCTTCCCGTCGGTACTCTTCACGTCGGAGAGCTTGCGGAGGGAAGAAAGATTGAAGGCCTGGGCGTTTCCCCTCGCCGTGCCGGCGTTCATGCGATTGCCGGCCTTGAGCACCGCCTCGAGCATCCTCATGAAGAGACCCTGCTTCCGCATCTCCCCGCAGGCGGCCTCCAGAGCATGGAGCGATTCCCTGAGGTGGAGCACCTCCGGCTCGTAGTTGATCTGGAAGAGCATGGCGTCGATGCGGGCGAAGGCGGAGGGGATGGCGCGCAGGAGGTGGAAGAGGAAGGACTCGGCGTCGGCGAGGGAGGAAGGGTTGCCGGAGAAGCCGAGGATGATGGCCTCCTCCTCCTTGGTCGGCACCAGCTTGGAGAGCTTCTCGAGGGTGTCAGCGCTGAGGCCGCGGCCCTCGAGCAGGGAGTCGAGGATCTCCGGCCTGCTGACGGCAAGGGAGCGCAGAACGATGGCGATGTTCTGCGACTTTCGGGAGTCGAGGAGGCAGATCTGACCCGAGGGGCCGCCGGCGCCGGAGGCGATGGCCTTGAAGGGGTTTGTCGAAGACGAGGTGGGGCTGCCCCGGGGGGATTTGCGGTTGGTGGCGACATAGCCGAAGAGGGCTTCCATGAGATCGTCGTCGAACCTGAAGGAGCCGCCGTGGATCTTATCCCAGACCATGGAGTGATCGGTGTTCACCGTCGTGACCTTGTCCCAGTGCAGCGGCTTCAGCTTCGGTTGCGCTTTCTCATTCTCTTCCGCCGCCGAAGCGGATTTGCTGCCGGATCTAGGAACTGGGGGCTTTCTCGGCCCCAAACCAGGCGGTGGCGGTGGTGACGGCTTATTTCCGACAGAGTTTGGCCGGGGAGGTGGCGGAGGAGGAGGAGCCACCCCTCTCGCCGCTCCCTGCGGCGGCGGCGGCGGCGGAGGTGGTGCCGCGCCTCGTCTCCCAGGTGGCGGCGGCGGCGGAGGTGGCGCCGCTCCTCGCGCCCCTGGTGGCGGCGGCGGCGGCGGCGGCGGTGGCGCCGCGCCTGGTGGCTTAGGCGGTGGAGGTGGCGGCGGTGCACTCGGCGGCTTGGACGATTGAGGTGGCGCCGCCGCTGCCATGGCGCTCAGACGCTGCACAGTCTGAGGAGAAGAAGAAGAAGAATGTGGCACCTCTCCCGGCCTTTTAGGTGACGGGGGCGATGTCGAGGCTGGAGATGGAGTCTTTGACATGGGTTCCCATCTTCCTGGTGGTAGAGGCAACTGTGGCGACGTCTCCGCCTTCCTCGGGTTGGCAACAACGGTGGCCAGCGTGATCGATTCAGACCCATCGGAACCTGCAGAAACGATCGAAATAACCTCTTTTATCCGATCCGACGTGCTCAAAGAATCGTTCTTCAACAGCGGAGCCGTCTGGTGCTGGCCTTTCCGGCTCCGACCATCCTCAGGCTTGGGCAGCTGCGCCGCCTGGTGCCGGCGGGGGGCTCCTCCGCTTCCTCCGCCGCCTCCGCCGCCGCCGCCTCTGGTGCCGGCATCTCCATGGCCACCAATCGCCTGCTTGCAGTGGCTGCACCGCCTCCTTCCGTCATTCCCATCCCGCCAATAGAGAACATCGAGCCTGTTCTCGTCAACGACCACCGCCTTGAGGGGACCGGCGACGGGGCTCGGCCTATAAGGGTTGGCGGCAACGCTGTAGGGATTTGTGGCGGCGCCGCCGCCATCGCGCCGGTGCTTGGCCCCTCCCTGACTATAGCTCTCGATCTTCTTGTGCTTGAAGGTGTAACGAAAGGCAGCGAAGAACAGAAGACCGGACACAACGAAGGTGCTGGCGGCGGTGGCGACGACGGCCTTGGTGACCGTTACTCTAGACGGCTTCGACGGCGGAGCATCCGGTGCTGCCGCCGGAGCCGACGGTACCGAGGGACTCACCGGCGGCGGCGGCGGCGATGGCGGCGGCGGGGCGTAGGTGAAGGCTGGAACCGAGTTTGAGGGAAAGAAGACCTCCACGTTTCTCACCCCCGGGTTGCTGGTCTGGAGAAGCCACCTCCTTTGCTCCGAAGGCTGCGGAGAAGCGGAGCTCGCCGCCATGGAACACAGCAAGACGAGGGCAAGGACAAGCAGCGGCCATTGCCGGAGGAGAGCGGCCATGGAGGACGAAGAATCTCTGCCGATTACACCAGAGCGCGGTAGAGAGAGAGACACAAAGGGGTTCGATCGGTTTCCCTGTGATGGTCGCCCTTTGTTTCCTCCTGTGGCGAACCTTTCCCGACGATTTCTTCAAACGAGCTTCCTTCCTTCATCGGATTTCCGACGTCTTCTCTGGGTTTCCGTCTGCTGACAGCTTCAAGGGCGGAGGGTTATTAGCCTCCAAAGGATTCCGCGGGTCTCCGTGTGGAGTGAATTTACCCATTATACCCTCATACCCATCAGGGGAGTTCAAAGAAGTTTTATAGCTATTTATGGTATTTCCAGATCCAGCTCGACAGTAAACGCGGTGCGGTAGACGGTGCCGCGGTTGGTGGTGGCTCAATTGCAGCCGCCGTCAACGTCGATATATAATATTGTCTCGCATTGAAACAGCCCTCGGTGGATCTATTATTGTACATAAATCTTCATCGCTGCTTCTTATTGGGTGAGCTGCAAACCAATGAGGGTATATTTCCCACATATGTCAGAAAGAGGGTTTAGCATAAAACCCCGCCAGTGGGAATGTCCCGGGAATTAAGGACGGTATTCAACAAAAGTCAACCCAATGGGCTCTCTGTGGTCGTTCGATAAGATGGAGGCGGTGGGTCGAGCGGAACGGGTCCATCTTACCTGCCCAAAGGTAGCGCTTGAACCCACTTGGCGGCTCGGTTGGGGGTTTGACCGGCTCCACGGCTGGAAAAGGGCGACCCGGTATACACAAAACGCGTTGACCAGGGATGAGACATAGGCGCCGCACGTGGGGCCGAATATGATGCAAACGTGTCTGGCCCCCCTGTGCTCGAACGAACGAGAGAGAGAGAGAGAGAGAGAGAGATATACATGGTTCCGAAGATGGCTTGACTCGGGTAACTCGGCTCTAGAATCACGATCACTGCTCAATAACTCGGCTAACCTACACTTGACGCTAACCCAGATCGCCTGATAATCCGTACGAGTTTTCCACGAGCGATGCTCAGCGTGCAACATGAAATCACCAAGGTTGACTTTGTTTCTCATGTCGTGAGAAATTCACCTGAATCTCCTCAACCTGGACGGACTTTTCTCCTTGACCTCTCTCTCTCTCTCTCTCTCTATCTATCTATCTATCTATCTATCTATCTATCTATCTATCTATCTATCTATCTTCATATCTATCTAGCTATCTCTATCCCTATCTCTCTCTCTCTCTCCCCAAACCCCCTGAGAAATTCAGACCGTTTCTAATATCTGTTCATACGCTTGAGTACAGCAGTTGACGAGGAGGGTAAACAATCGGCAGGTGACCCATCTTCTTCATGTTCCAAAGAGGTCGAAGAGGTTTTATCCATATAATTATCGTCCAGGATGAACCTTTCCCTCTCTTCCAAACCACCTACTCGTCCTTTGATCTTGGTGAGATTGCGCTTTCCAACCGATCCCAAGGATGAACAACAACCAGAGATGCAACATACGTCTCTACTTCATGCAAAACCACAAAATATGGCTAAAACTGTCAAATATCTTTTGGCCATAGAAATGATAATCTGGGTCATAATAATTTTATGCTCAGCCCCGTCAGACCCCAAAACGACCTGCTGGAGTTGCCTTTGTTGCTGTCCAGCCCACAATCTTGGAAGCTTCGTGCTATTTGCCAGAGAATCCTCTCTCTCTCTCCATCTCTCTCTCTCTCTTCTCTCTCTCTCTCTCTCTTCTCTCTCTCTCCATCTCTCTCTCTCTCTTCTGTCTGTCTGTCCATCTCTCTCTCTCTCCATCTCTCTTCTCCCTCTCTCTCCATCTCTCTCTCTCTCTTCTGTCTGTCTGTCTGTCTGTCTGTCTCTCTCTCTCTCTCTCTCGCTCTCTATACACTTTAAAATTTTGGACTATATGCCCTAACATAAAGCGTGAGCCGCGGCCAGATTTCATAAGGGTCCAGCCTGGAACTGGGTTCTCAAGTCTTTACCTGGGTCCAGGCTGAACGGGGGTGTAGGGCCTCAGGGAAGGCCTGCACCCAGCCCAGCCTGTTGACCGCCTCTTGGGTTTTAACAGATCAACTTTTTAGAGTTAATTAGACCAAATATTTTTTATATTTCAAAGAATATAAAATAAATATAATTTCGAAAGTCCTTCAGAGGCGATTTTTTTTTCATACTATCCATGTCGCCCCTTCAAGCTACGACCTGTTCAGCTTGCAAAGAAGTTCACAAGATAGCAAAAAAAAAAAAAGAAAAAAGGGCTGCACGGCTGCTGCGTTTATTCGCATATATAGCAAAAAATTATGTGAGTGAATGGGCCAAAATGTTAGCTTCTGGTTTATTTCTTCATAAACTTTGTCAAAAATATAACAAAGATAATTAAGCCAATACAGCTCCTTCCATAATGTTCCTGATAAGGAAACATAGATATACGAATTTAGGAGACAGGAGAAGGCCTGCATGTCCATGCAAAAATACCCATAAGATTACAAGGGAAATGCAAAATAGGTGAAAGGCTATTTTTTTTCGTCATTATAAAAAAAAAGTCAATGGATGAGCGAGTGCCTTAGCGTAACCCAGAGAAAATTATGACTTGAGGTGGGCAAGAGGTCAATGCGCTGACAAAAGGTTCTTGTTTTCTTCTATCTCGAATTCTAATGCTTTATTTCGTGGTCAAAAAAATGATTTTATGGGGATTTAAAACTAACTTTACTCATTTTAAGTAGGCACACAATGTAAACAAACGGGAGAGAGAGAGAGAGAGAGAGAGAGAGAGAGAGAGAGAGAGAGAGAGAGTAAACTATGTTGAAGTAGAAACACGCCCTCTTTTATTCACTTCTTCACCTAAAAGTAAACTGATGTACATGATATACTACTGTGTTCTCATTGCATAGATAGTGATGCTCCATTCCCCTTAAATCGCCTGCCTTGCTTCTTCTAAGCACATCATTGAAGCCCATCCTGTCTTGATGACGAGTCACCAACAAACTACAGCGGGTACAATATAGAGCAGAGGGATTGAGAACAAGGGCAGATGAATTCAAGGCTCACGAACCATCGCAGACCCCCAGCCACTCCTCCTTTCTCGAGACTCTGGTACTATAAATACTGGTAATAATTCTTCAAAGAGTGCACTCAGATGGGAAGGCCTGTCTTCGTTCAGCTAATCCGCGTCCAGCCAGCTCCAGCCGAATCGGGTAGCACCTAACATCGCCTTCTGTCCGTTCACCTATGAAGATCCGATGAACAATAAGAAATAGCACGAGCTGCGAGCCAAGCAACTCAAAAATAACGGGATTTGTAATCTGAATAAGCAATTTGCAATTTTTTAAAAAATAATTAGTAAAATTTGCATTTTATTTTGATAATTAAGGCGCAGTTTCAGCCGTCTATGAACAGGTTTTTCTCATGACACTTCAGAGATCTGAAGAACGAATTGGAGTGAATCAGTCCCATTTTTTCGGGGGATTCCTGTTCAGAGAATCGAACCAATTCGAGTCAGACGGTTTTAATCTTTACTATGAAAGGAATAATCACACGGTTCCGTTTGGAAACAAAAGAGCGAATCGTTGACTCACCTGCTAATCCCATCAACCACACTGGTCTTCGTCGAGGTCTCATCACTCAAGCTGTAGTCTCTAGCCGGTTGACCCTTCACCAATCTGTGCGAAGAGACTTTCGAGCTCCCCATGGAACTGGAGTTGGCCTCTACTGAGGGGATGACCGGGGTTCCAGCATTTGACTTTGATCCCTGCTTCTCCCATTTTCCAGGATCTGGGCCATCCTTGCTGGTGGAGCCAAGGAGCTGAGAGGAGTATCTGTTCTCGGTCCTCCTCCAGAACTTGGAGCTCAGGAACTCAGCCACAGGGATCCTGCAACAGTGGGTGCCAAGGTTGGCAGTGGGTAGCCTCCCAGACGACACAGCCAAGTCCTGCGAGATCTCATCTAGGGCCATCTCCAGGCCCTGGACCCTTGACTCCAGGGAGCGGATGCCATTCTGTGAGTTTCCGATGAACCTCTAGAACAAGCAAAGGAGAGAGACATGAGGGAATTAAACAGCAAAAGAGAGTATTGGAATCACAAGAGATGTCATATCTCTAGAACAAGCAAGCCCCTGCATATTGTGAAGCTATCTTGCCCTTGAAATGTGATGATGGGAAAGGAGCTATTTTGCAAATATTTTGAAACCCACTAACACTCAAGAGGAAATTAGGATGTAAGGGCTCTCATCAACAGACTTGGGCCTAGAAAGAAGCTCCAAAGAAAAAATGGGCCCGACCCGGATTGGACTTTTGGGCTTCTTCTGAGCCCGATCTTGTTCTTGTAAGACCCGCACTGCTGGTTGACGGAACTGCTGGCAGAGTAGCAAAGACATGCCCCCCGCTGCAGCTATCCACTCCATCTCTCTGAGGAAATAAATGGACGTAGGCTGCTAAATTTTTGAACAATTTTTGTATTGCTGATTTATTTTTCATTGTCGAATGAATCATGGAAGACCTATGCTCCAAAATTACTACTCCTTTCAAGAAATAATCCTCAGCCCGCTTGGAGCCTAACTCGATATTTCCATTTAAGAATCAGTAATATGGGATTGCCAGTGAAAATTTTCTTTTCAAGGAATGGGTGCCATGTTATGAGGCTTAAAGAAGATTGGGAGGGAAGGAAAATGAGCAACAGTCCAAAACCCTGTGTTATTTTATTTCCAAAATTATTGTTTCCACCTCATAAACATGGAATTTTTCTTCTACGTATAAATTTTTTCTGAGAAGAAGTTACTACCAAGGTGTTCATGAGGGGAAAAAATGTTGCCATAAGATAATTTTTAGGAATGGAGGGTACTAAAAAGGAATGAGAATTCCCAATTCAAAATCGCTAACGCAGACAGAAACTTATCATATAATATCATTGGCAAAGGGAATTATGTACACATGTAAGCCATGTGCTATCACCATAATTACTCTCTGTGCATCGCCATAGTCCTCTACGAGCATGGTGATGGACCAAAATGAGGAAGCTGCAACCCAAGAGGACATGACCTCACCTCTCACTTGAGACCACACACAAAGATGCCCAAATGTAACCCAATTCAACAGAACATAATCTTCAGAATTTTCAATTTTTCTACTAGGACCCAACTAGATTCTGGTGTGGGTTCGTCTTATCAAGTTATATTCTTGAAAATATTTCGAATGACCCTCTTCAATGGTTGAGTAAAACAGTTCCAAATTTCAATACCGTAACTCTGGTTTTTTTTTCTTTTACTGTTCTTCCTCCTCTTCTAGAATTCTGGCCTTCCCTTTCTGCAGCTTCTCCCCCCCCACCCTGAGTTTCTCTTTTGCCTCTCTACTTCCTCTCGTTTCTTTTCTTTCTCCTTGCCGTTTCAGAAACTCCGGCTACTGAGGGCTGATTACTGCGAGGAAAGGGTGGTCAAAACCGGAAAAGATTTCATCTGCAGAAATCAGCAGATAAAATGAGCATTCAATCGGCATGATATTTCTTTTCTCAGTTTCATCCCAGAGATATTTAATATTTTACGCCCATTTCTTCCATTATTAAACATTGTGCTAGAGAAGTTAAGTAACCCCTGTGTGGGACTGAACGGGGATGAGGATTACCTGAACGAGATCCAGTAGGCTAGTCTGCTGATTCTCTATCTGAACCAGCTGCTTGCGGATGAGAGATAGATCGCCATCCTTATCTTCGTCGACTATCTCTTCAATGTCCACCGCTTGCTCCTGGTCTCCTTTCTCCTGGAAAGGAACCACCCGAGACCCCGACTTCACATGCCCGACCTTGTTGACCCTCTGCTCGGAGTTCTTCTCGAACAGGAGCTTTCTAACGTCTAACTTGGAGCCAGTCGTGCTTTCTTGATTTCCAGCTTGCTCCTGGGCTACCCCATCTGCTGTCATTCGGGTGTTGTGAGGCTCATCCTTGCCCATGACCGCGGAAGGAGGAGTGGGTGGCACGGCGATTTCAATCTTCCAGTCGGGAGGGGATCTCCCGGTATCGGATCTACAGAACGAAGGAGAGCTCGTTCTCTTCTCCCTTCTCGGGGAGGCCCTTTTCCGGGCAGCCGGAGTGGGCGAGGAATATGTTGGCGACGATCTGCTAAGCGGGGAACTCTCCTTCCTCGAGGTGTAAGGAGAACTGGAACGGGTGCCGGTGGAGCTTCTCCGGCCGACCGAGAGTCGCCCATCGCTCTCATTCTCTGCAGGTAGATGGGATTTGATCAGTAGAACCTTGGGCAGTCGACGAAGATCAGAGAACCTGATGAAGAAGAAGATGGAGCATCATGAGATGTGCGCTGACCGCGGTCTTCGTCCTCTTTTAGGGCACCTGGAACGTCCTTCCACGCCTCCAGCATCAGGTTCATGGAGTCCCTCACGATCTTCACCTGTGGGACTTTCAGGCTATGGTGATTCATCCGATCGACGAAAACCCATCTGGAAGAACTTGGAAACTGGCATACCTTGTCGAATCTCCGGGCTTGGAAGAAGGAGAAGTAGGAGGATTTGAAGCCCATGAGGAGGTGGCGAGAGGGGATCGCGGCCACATGGGTCAAGGCCTCGGCGGCGGCCTTCCTTGCTGCCCAATCCTCGCTGAGCAAGGCGTCGGCGAGACAGGGGACGAGGAGGGCCAGCAGAGCCGTCGTGGAGGCCCCATTGGCCGCCACGATGCTGCCGAGCAGGGAGAGCAGGGCGGGCTTGGACTTGTACCCGTCGGTTCTCGCCAGCTTCACCAGGCGGGGGATCAGACGGTGGAAATGCGCCGTCAGATGGCCATCGGCGGCGGCGGAGGCCTCCTCGATGGCGGCGGCGAGGCACATGGCGGAGCCCGTCTGGGCATTTTGGTCCTGTTCCAGCAGGAGGGTCTCCGACAAGGGCTTGAGAAATACGGGGTAGAAGGAGGCGGCGGAGCCGCCGCAGGACATGTCGCGGACGGCGTCGACACAGGCGGTGCGGACGGAGGAGTCTGGGTCACGGAGGCGGCGCAGGACGGAGGAGACCATGCGGGGAAGGAAGGGGGAGAGGGACTCCGGTGGGTGTGTCCGGGAGAGGAGGGAGAGCAGTCGGAGACAGTGACGGCGGAGCGGGGCCTTGTCTGAAGATCGGGTGTCGGAGATGGCGGAGATGAAGGATGGCAGGGAATCGACCGGGAGAACCCTCGCCATGGATTCCAGCTCCGCCGCGGCCATCGCCTCCGTGTCCCTGTCCCAGAGCTTGTTCATGTAAAAGTTAGCCCTCTGCTTCACGTCCTTCCCGCCGCTGCCACTGTCGGTCTTTCCTCCGTTTACGCCGCCGTTTATCTTCCTGGCGCCGTCCGCCGCCACCGGAGTCATCACGACCTGCGGCTGATAAGGCGGCGAAGAGGATGAATGCTTCGGAATCCCCATTTCCCCTCCTCCTCAACCTCCTCAGTTTGCTTGTCTTTTCTTCAAAGCAAACTTTGAGCCGAAAAAATGGCGACCCACAGAGACGGAAGAAGGGGCAACGATCAGACAGCGGTGTCGTGTCCTAACCCCATTTTCGTTCCTGCTGGGTGGCGGGAGCCGGGTGGTCGAAGCTCTGGTGGGTCTGGGCGGCGGCAGCAGCAGCAGTAGAGTATCGCAGCAGAAGCGGCGGCGATTCTGTGGTTAGTAATGGAATAATCTACTCATATCTGGAGAAGGGCTCGGGCGGGTGGTTAGGGTGCTGGGCGGCGAAGAAATGGGGGGAAGATCAACCGATCCACATGATCCATTCCACAAGAAGACGATGGAGAGGGAAACACATCTTTCTGTGCATGGATCTGCATCTGCGGAGTGGTCCCTCTCCCCCCCCTCCTCTCCCAGTTAACCTTTTTATCTAAAAACCGTCCGTATATATTATTCATCGCCTGCGGACCGTCTCCTTCCTCCCATGTCGTCTTCCTCACGGACTCCCGGTAGATCCCGTCGGGTCACTCATTCCTCTCTTCTCGCCGTCGATCTGGTTTGTTCCCCCCCCCCGTCCCCGTTCTTCCGTCTTCTTCTGCCTTTACTCAGGCATTTACAATTCCGTAACAATTCTTCAAGCATGCCTGCTAATCCCGAGTAGTCTCTGCTCTCTCTCTCTCTCTCTCTCTCGCTAACGAATTATCAACGAGACTGTCTCAGACATGACACTAGCTTGCTCCTTCCATGAGAGAGAGAGAGAGAGAGAGAGAATCAGCTTCGTAAAAGTTAACCCCTTTATGAGGAACAAAAGAACCAATCTTTCGAATGATTTGTGGGTTAGAAGTGAGAGTTGTTCTTCTTGTTTCTAATGGAGATAGAGGCGACGTGTCGAGAACATGCTCCGTCATAAGTCGTCGGCTACGGCGGGGCACCCCGTGGAACAATTGATGCGCAGAGTGGACTCGTTAATATGGATTGCCATGGCTCACAAGGAGCTCGGCGACTCGCTCTCATTCATTGCCCCAGGGAGCAGCATTTGCAGACGTCACAAGAGCGGGAAGGGCGGCCTTCGGCCCTTCCCAGGAAGAGAGGGGCCTCGCCTTTCTTTCTCCTCCGCAGACTGCGACCTTCACGGACCAGATGCCCTCCGCCTTGAATGCTCCGCCCACTCTCATTTACATGACGATAGCAGCACTGTGATCGAGCCCCCATACAATAAATGATCGTCCGAACAAGCCAATAATGCTCCTCTCTCTCTACCCATCTGCTGCATATCTATTGCTTCCGTGCGTCTTACTTCCCTCTCTCTCTCTCTCTCTCTCTCTCTCTACCCACCTCTGAGGGTATCTATGGCTTCCGTGCGTCTTCCTTATCTCTCTAAGTCTCTCGCTTTCCCTCCCTCACTCTCTCTCTCTGCGGAAGGAATCAGTTCCCGGGGAGGCATTTACTGTTTCTGCAGTGAGAGGAAGAGTGCGGGAACAAAAACAATGGAGGTGACTTTTCCCCAAGCAATCCTTCTCTCCTCCGAGGAGGAAGACGAAGGCACGCAAACCCTAGCTTCCTCCCACGTCATGCCACCAAACGCCGGTGATATCCGACGGTCAACGGCTGACATCGTACACAGGAGGCTTTAATATCAAATGGGGCGGAGAAGACAACGGCGCCGATGCCTCCCCGGCTCCCGCTTGGACACCTGGCGGATGTAGCCCTCTTAGCTCGGAGATTTATTTATATGTAGGTCAATGTATCTGCCGTCACTTGATGCGCCGACATGTACATCATCGTGAAAAATGGCCTTTGACCTCCGTCACTCCACTGGTTGACTAAAGTCAACGATCATCGCCACCCGCGTAGAGAGAGAGAGAGAGAGAGGGGGGGGACATGATGAAACCCACGTTCTTCTCCTTGACATCTGCTACGCCAGCTCATCTCCGGGGACTCTCTCTCTTCCGTCTCTCTCTATCTCTATCTCGGGGAGGTGAGAACATGGCGGCATGTGAGGGCGTCTGTTTTGTTAGTTGTATCGGGCGAATGGAAACAAGGGGGCGATAAAATAAAGCGGCGGCGGCGGCGGCGGCGGCTTCCGGCGGAGGGCCAGGGGGATCCCTGCGGCCGGGCAGTCACATGCCTTGTCCCTTCTCATTACGACGAGGATAGGTCAGGAAAGTGGCCCGGCCGTTCGCCTCTCTCGCCGCCATTTCATCGAACACTTGCGGTGCAAGCCTTCCGCATAGGCTGGTCCGTGGCCCGCGGGCCCGGCACGCCATGTGCGGCAGAGCCCCCGGCCGGCGCGCCGATGGCTCCAGCGGGGTCTATCCCGGAGGGCGACAAACGGTGCCGGCGACTCGGTCAGACCCCGTCAGACTTCCGAGCCCAGTGGACGCCCCCACCGGTTCGTCCCCGCGGTAGCGGACAGCGCCGCGGGTCCCCGAGGGGGCCAGTGGGGGTCCACTTGGTCCGACCTCTTTCTCTGCCTGGTTCGTGGAACCTATATGAGCCTCGCCTTCCTTTTTGGCCCATTTAGGGAGTCTCGATGGGGTCCATGTGCACGGGGAGGCCTAGTAGGCGGAAGCCGCTCCTACTAATATATATATCTATATATATAATGTCTAGTTCCTGGGGCGATAAGCCTTATGATCGAAGTATTCTTATAAATACAACTTTATAAAGTACAAAATAAAATTTATTGAAATATTAAGGGCTTTTATGAAATAATATTGTGGATTTATAAAATTCTCCCGCGCATTCTCCGTTCCTCCAATTGCAGCTCTGGGGAGGGAGGGGAAAGAGAGAAAAAGGAAGGAAGAGGGAGAGAGGCAATGCCATCGACGGCGGGCGAGATCCAGCGAAGAGATGTGCAGCGGCATCTCCTCACTCTCATCCGGGACTTTGCCGCCGAGCAGTCACAGGGAGGTGGAATCCGTCTTCTCTTCTGATTCTATCGTCTCTGTTGGGAATCTCTTGCTCGTCGCTTATGCTACTTTTCGCACTCGTCCCCGTTCTCTTCTCGTGTTCCTTTGTTCCTCGGCAGAGAGGAGGATCTCCGATCTGAAGAATCGGCTGGTCGACCTCCAGGGGCAGTTGAAGACAGCGAACGCCAGCCTCGAGGTGGCCAAGCAGTCAAGGGAGGCCGCGGAACACAGTATAAGGGGTTCTGAGGTCGAGCTTTCTATGGCTGATGCGTCAGTACATGCTCTGGAGGTTTCTCACTCACTCCCTTGCCTCGATCAGTAAATTTGTGTGCCGCTCTTTCGACTTCAAATTTTTCTTTCCGTTGTACTATTTCTGTTCAGTGATACTCGGTAAACGACCGTCCCATTTTGCAGGCGAGAACTCGTCTTCTGCAAGATGAGGTGTCCATAATTACTTCTGATTTCTCCAACCTTAAGGTTCGTCTCTTTCCGTCTCCGCATGTGCTTTTGTGTCACCATTTAATCCTTATCCATTATATTCATTCCCTATTGATGTTGATTGCATTGACATTGGTTCCCGTGAAAGAATGAGGAGGAAAATGTCCGGTTAGTTTTTACGAGAGCGCTGATTCTATTTCTGATTTATTTTTCATTTGGACTAATTGAGGGAAAAAGTCGTCTACTGACTCAGGGATAAATTTCTCAATGAAATGTATGAGCTCAACAAGAACATAAGGTCAGTATTGGAACTTGTTCATTTGCAAACGTTTTTGCTTTCCTTCCCTGTTTCTACTTTTATTTTTCAGCTTTCTGACTCTAACAGATGTTCAAACAATTTTTTACACTTTCAGTGCTGGGAACATGAGAAAAACGAAAATGATCACGTGTTTGATGATGTTTGACTTCACAAATTGAACAAAAATTATTTGCCAAAATTTCGTAAAATGTTTTGGTGTGTGGATGCGGAATTACTTTATTGGGAAGTTACATGTGTTATATGAGCGTGCAAGGACAAAAAGGATGCTTTGCTTCGAGTAAAACTTGATGAAAGACGCGATCAATTAATATGATTTTAATTTGCACACATTTTAATTCAAAAAGAATTAAGTGTACTTCTGTCGAGTTTATATGAGATGATTATTCCCTTGGGTCTAGTGTTTTCTTTGATTATTCCCATCTAAGAGCGACTGTCCAAACTTGACAGCATTTTTTTATTCCTCTTTAGACTGGTGTATAACAAAGTTGAGATTCTTACTCAAATGGGGACAAGTGACAAGTAGCTTGCCCTGAGTCTGCAACATGCCGTCGTTTAATCCTAGACATCTGTGATTCTCCACCTCAATCATTCTATATGACTTTTCCCCTTGCTGTTTGACGCTATCCGGATTTTAGTATTAAAAAAGGAAAACGTATGGCAATGGGTCGTTTCATGAAAATGATCCTGTTCAGTTACTGACACTAATCAGATGTATTTTAGCCAACTCTACAATTCACTCAAATAGTAAGACCTATTCTGTGAGCTTTGGAAATTTAATATTGTGGTATTAAACTGTTTAAGGATTATACCCAGTTGATTCACTTTAGTGAAGTCCTTATACTTATTGGTCCATTGCCTATTGGATTCTGAAAATGCTATTTATTAGAGGACAGAGTATTTCCAATTTATGAATTTCAGAAGAATGGGACTTTGTGTCCGTTGCTTTCAACTGGTTTATGTCTTTGACTTCAAGTTTAGTTGAATGACTGTACAGCCTTCAGTAATTTGGGGCTTATCGCTGCAGGAGTTTTCGAGAATTGGAAGTACTCACCCTCAAGAAAAACAACACTCTTGGATTTCTTTTAGATGATGGTAAGTAGACAATGTTTGGCACTATACTTTACAAATAATGCTCGATTTAGGAATCCTATGATGAAAATCGCATGGTTGTTTGATGTAAGGTGGCCTATTTCTACATAATTTTCAGATGTTCATCTTGCCAAGGTTTATGATGTGGTACTCAATTGTCTCCATGTTTCTTCATGAGCTTATGTTGATCTTCTTTCGGTTCTTGAGTGGGTTTGTCTAGGTTGATTGGAGTTCTTAACTATTGCATTCTGTAATTTCGGTCAGAATTAATAGCTTTCTCTCATCTAATTCATGTCTTCTCCAGAATCCCAGGTTTCCTGTGAAATGAAAATCCAATAAGGGGGATGTTTAAAAGATGTAATGTAAATTTAAATGAAGATGGTGGTTCTCTTTGCGTGATCTTGTTTTATACTTGTAGTAAAGATAATAAGTCTTTACTATTATGAGTTAAAAATTAATAATAACATATTTAGTATAGTTGGTAAATAGGTTTATATTTGTGTTAAATTATGAAAAATGATTCCTCTGTAGATTACTCATATTTAGTATAGTTGGTATGCTGATCATGTTAGATGGTTGCTCCAATATATTAGAAGCTTTATTTAAGCCATCGTATGCTTTTCTTTGTTAATTCTTCCTAGGTTATTACATAAATGCAATTTATAAAGGGACTAAAAAAGAACTACCGCCATTTCAATGCAGGCAAGACAACCTTGGATGCAAAACAGAACCCTAGGGGGACACTGCAAGATGTTGAGGACAGGCTATCTGATACTAATTTTCAATTGGATGCGCTGGAAGGGAAGTATCAAGAAGAATTACGTGTCCACACTGAGGTAACATAGATTAAATTTCCTCTGTTATAGAAACTTTTGGGATCTAGTGGATGCATAATTCAGTTTTCTCCGCATATTTAACGACAGCTGAATCGTGTGTGACTAGTTGACTTCGACTGAACATTTAAGCATTTGAATGCAGCACAATAGCATATGACTGATCTTTTTTCTATGTTTTTCCTTCTTATCTTACCGTTCTCCTTCATTGGCATAATGTTTTAGTTTACATAGGCCATGCTCTCATTTACGAAGTATAAAATTGGATTTAATAGGGTTCTTTTTTTCTTAATTGGACTTTGGTTTTTTTCAAGTAAATAATTCTTTAAAAGCCTCCAGGAATTTACGAAATTCATGGAAAGTAAGAGGGGTCAAGATTTGCCTCCTCATCACTGGTCGTGAATTTGGGATTTCCTCTTGAGCAGATGGAGAGTTTGATACATATCGCTTCACTGAATTTTAAGGATAACTGTGGGTCAATGGCTACCTGAGGAAACACCAATTTGAACCCCCCACCCCCCTTCCGGCTGGGAGGCATCTACATCATTCCGACCACAGTGAGAGGTTCGCCATGATGGCAGGTTAGTTCTGTCACAATGCCACCACGGAGCACCTAGGAATGCGTCTTCGCAGATCAAGTACTACAAGGTCACCCCTTTCATTTTGGGCGTGACGCAGCAGGGATCACACAGTCTGAGCCATTTTTTCATGCTTTTCCTTAAGATTTGCAGGAAAGCAACAGTGAATAGGATTTCCCTTATCCTACCAGTGAGATCTCCCTTTCCTTCTATACCAGGCACGTTCCTGGAAAGTGACCTGATTATTGACCTTTTATCCCGCACAGCATTTTGGTCTTTGCCACTTTATGTTCAGAAAATCCTGACGAGTTTTTAACCTTCAAGATTTGAGTTGCTGGTCCTATTTAACGTTCGTTTTTTATTTCCAATCGTCCATCATTTTTTTCCTGCTTATTTCATGAGTGATTTAAGATCCAAAAGTTCATCGAGAGATTATCATGTTGCCAAGATTATCACGTTCGTAGTGCAGCATCAATTATTCACTGCGTTTCCCCGTGATTCTCCTTTGCAAGCGACTCAGTGTTTGTTCCGTTTCTTTAGTAGTATGAAATAATGAAGCTGGACCTATTTCATCCGTATTATCAGAAACCTTGACAGCATTTAGACTAGTTTTCTACTCCCTTCTTTAACGTGGTCTTCTGTTCGTTGACCGATCCGTATTTGTGGAATATCCTTCGATTCGTGGCCACGTATTATGGTCTCACCCTTTTCTCGACTTCACCGGCCATTTTTGCACCTTACACGCTGGAGATGATCATCGAACACTCGGCAAATGATGCCTTACATTGGGGAACGTACCATGTTCTTTAGGCTGTTCAGATGCTGGCTGAAGTGGAGAAAAGGGCGTTCCTTGGCGAAGCCGTGATCGAAGAAACTAAACAGATAAAGGAGCTCTCTAGATATCCTCACTGTCGAATAATAGTCCTTGCGTCCCTTTGTTGTTGACCTACTCCGTCGTCTTCCTTAGCCGGCGACAGGCGGACCGCTGAGTCAGAACAGATTTACGCAGCTCTCGGATCGGAGATCCGGAAGAGATTTACGTGCCCCAGCTGCCACGCCAACAACATGGATGCCTGGGAGGGAGGCTGCTGACCCCGTAGCCAGGTCCTTGGAGTTAATATGGAGGTAAATTCTTGCATCGGACCAGGTTCTTTTTTTTTCCTGACCATCCTGTTGATTTTTTTTTAATTTCTGTCAACCATAGACCAGAACTCTGAAAGTGAAACGCGTCCGGATACAGATTCTACCTCGGATCCCTCAACTTGCTTTAATTTCAGGGTTCACCTCCGGATAGGATAGAACATGGATGTTTTCAGATCAATTGGCCTCAGAAAAAATAAAAACTACGTACAGATAATTCCACTTTTGTCCTTTATATCCTCCATCAAGGACCAAATTATATCCTGATTACTCTATCCATCCCATCCAGCTCGGCGAATCATTGATCTTTTCGAACTCACCCCGGACACCTTCTTGAAAATTTGACCTGTAGTGATTATGAGCATGCCTGCAAGCCTCCTGATTGCAGCTCTGTAGATGTTTGTAGGTACCACTGTGCTTTGGAAATCTTCAACTCTCTTACTGCCACCGCATACCCAATTGATCTCCTAAAATAAGGTCGTAAATGGGATTTGGTTCAAATTTTGACTTTCTAACCAGGTTTAAACATCTCTGCAGGTTGCGTGTTCACGATTTAACCCTGCAGCAAAGTCTCTCTCGCTCTTTTTTTCATCTCCTCCGCTCAATCAAGGTTTTCTTCCTTGAAACGGTGACAGCGTGTATCCTTGAGCTGACAATGCCATTACATCTCTTTTCATCCTAGCGATTAGACCGCTGGACCCACCCAACAGACTATGCTGTCATAGAAACTGTCCATGGTCCTCATCCGCCACCATTGCCGTACCTCCATCGCCCCCTACACGCTTAAACTGCAGCCAACATTCTTCAACGCAGTGGCTGATCCTGCAACTTACATCCAATATCGTCGATCCCAGCTACCAACCCAGATATCTCATGATTTTGGTTCTCATCCTGCGGCCAGCTGGAGCTTCTCTTTTTCTCTGTGGAGTGACACTGGGGAGAGACCGATCAAGATCGATAAGGAGGCTGCTCTCTGCTCGGGAGCTGGTGCCAACAGTAGGCGGACAGCCCACCGGTCCCCGGTGACCCCCATCTTCCGAGTCGTCGGAACGGTGCTATTGCAAGGACTCTTTAGACCCACAGCCGCTTTCAAGATAAGTGCAGAAAATGACAAGGAGAGGCAACGCCAAAATAAGGGGAAAGGAGAGAGGACTCGGAGGCAAGCGCCACAACGGTAGGTGTGGTTCTGCACTTTGACTTTACCGACATCCATGGGAGAAAAGATGCATTTGCTAAGGACTTAGAAAATATTATAAGTGAGAGATGCATTTGCTAAGGACTTAGAAAATATTATAAGTGAGAGATGCATAGTGTCTTCTGCTGTTTTTAACAAGCCCCTTTTCTCCAATATTTACCTTTCCCTCTGTCAAACAAAGCCCTTCATTTGTGGCCTATGAAGTCAGCTTTCTAAGGGCTTGATTTGTCCATTTTTTCCCCCCTTCAAATGAGACCAAAAATATGAACATTTCTGGACTAAGAAATAGTCTTCGTTGGCCCTTTTTCTGGTCTGTTAAAAATATTTTTGTTGAAATTCTTGATACATCCCCCCAATCTCCACCTTGGTAAGAATTCTACAAACCTTTGTCAGCAGCATTGAGATCTCTCTTGGTCTCACACTTCCTACCCTTGCCATTCTAATTATAAATAGCCTAAATCTTTTTTCGTTTTAGAGTTTTGATGTTGACATATAATAATAACTGATAACAAAAAAGTTGATCATGAATTTATAATTTTTGCACTGATGCTCTACTGGTTCTAAATTGACAAATGTAGTCTATTTTTTATTTGATTATAATTTTTTGGTATAAAATATCACAAAAATATGTAGGAAGAGATACTTAAAAGAAATATAAAGCAAAGCAAAGAAAAAAATATTTTAGAAAGCAAAGTTTACTCAAGCACTATGCCAGCTCATGGTTCAACTTATTATTCAACCTAGGTGAGTCAACGTAGATATCATTGAGTCAAAATTAAAGAGAGCAAAATATCCCTTGAGAGACCTTGTGTGTCAACTCAAGGAATCAATCTCATGAGGGGGAAATGGAGATTCTCTCATAGACTAGAGGACAAATATCCCAAAGCATATCTAGACATTTTAGAGCATCTTTGATCATTGCAGAAAATCATGACATATCAAATGACCAAAAGAAATTATAAATTCTCTTATTACACATCTTTTGGTGACAAAATCAAAAGTTGGTCAACTGAGCTAGTTGATTGTGGACATTATTTTGTTGGTCTGAAATATAGGTCAACTTGAAAGATCTTTGATTAGTCAAATCTCAACAATTTGAATTTTAATGTCTCATTTTTTTTTGCTCTATTAATAGCATATCTTAAGAGTTGTCAAAAAAAGCATTATGATCACATCACTTGGATACAACCATATTGAAAATCAACATTATCATTACAATGCAAATGCATCCCAATGTCCACCAAATGAAGGATGTCAACTCAATCTCAAGATTCATCTACGAATATTTTATCCAAGTTCTTATATGTGAACTTCAAAAATATTGGTAAGAAAAAAAATATAATCTAGCATGAAGAGATAGAAACTATGAAACTTGATCTTTTGAATGTTAGTTATTGTTTTTCAAGAGAGAATAATAAAAATTGTAGGTAGGAACTCCTAGTAGAAGGACATAAGGTAATATGCCCATTTCTTACTGCAAACCAATGTGTTGACCCAACCTAGTTGATCCAAAGTGTGTTAACCCAAAGTCTCTTCAGCCCATGTACCTCGTTGGTTGGTAGACATACACATTACTTCACCTTTGGTTACTAAGTAGGGTTTGGTTCAATTACCTATTTTTCTTGTTCAAGGTCAATGTTATTGTCATCATATTTGTTGTATTATCTTGTGTCAACTTTCAAAAAGTAAATATCTCATGAATTTGGTTTATCTCTTAGAGTCAATTCCTTTGTCATCAATGAGTTTTGTTTGCAAATGAAATATTTAATTATTGACCATGTAAATGGTAATACTATCAAAATGCATTACGATACTCATTCGTTTCAAGCCAATTATTCTTGCAACCTCTTTAAACATAAAGCTTCTTTTGTAACTTTTTTTCATAGCCGTGTAAATATTTTTTTGAGTTACATAATTTTAACATAGGACTTCCTTGAGATGGATCCACTACAAAGTTTCAAGATATCACACAACAATGATCTCAAGTTTTTACTGGCATAATCAACTTCTACTTTGGCTTTGTTCTAGTCAAACATGATTCCTATCCAACTATTGCAACATGTCATAAAGGTATCTATTTTAATACATTCTAATGTTGCATTCAAAGGTTTTCTATATGCATATTAACCATTGTCACGACTTGTGAGATGTCTAGTTTTGTGTATATCAATACATATATGAAACAAACCATTGAATTTAGGTGTGAAACATCTGAGATCTATTTTTTCATTAATTTATTTTTTAGAAATTTTTGATAAGACAATTCATAGTGGTTACTCAATGGGAATCCCCCTGTCTTGGATGATATCATGCTCAACTTTTTGATCTCTCCCAATCTCCTCACCTAAAAGCTTCTTTGCTAGAACAAGATTCTCTTTCTACATTGCCTTATTTCAACTTTTCACCAGGTGATTGCTTGAGCAATCATATAGTGAAACATAATCCTCTTTTCTTGGCTCCTTAGACATGTCAAGTTGCTACATGTATATTTCTTCTTCATATCAAGTTACTTTAATTCTATGCTGGTGATAACTACTATGGAAATCAAAACTCCAATAGAAGTGTGTTTTAGAACCAAAGAGAATATCTTGGTGCAATGTACTTTTCTGCAAATATCCTTCCAATATAAATCAAGTAGTGTACTTTTCATATTTATATATATACTTTTTTTCCTTTTGTAAACCTACTTGCAGTAAATATATTGCTTGCTTTTTAACAGATTAACAACCTCACATTGATTTTTATATAGAGACATTATCTCACAAGACACAGCTTTGAGCCATTTCTACTCATCCTTGGATGTCATACCACTTTGACACCACCAAATGCCTTTCTTGCTTTTTGGTAGATTTGTTACATTACTTTCCATCTCACTATGTTATATTGATCTCTTCCTTTTTGTTCTTTAAAATTTTAAGTAAATATGCCTTCATCTTCATGCTAGAATGTTAGATAGTTGAGATTAGTTCTCTATATTCCACCTTTCATATTTTTTCCTTCTAACTTCTTCATAAAACAACACCATTTCCATCTCTACCTACACACCATATTTTTCTCATAGAAAAGAAGGTCCCATTAATAATCTACTTCATTGTGCTAAAAATTATATAGTTTATACCCTTTGTCTCCTTTCATGCTTCCATGTTTCTTCCTCATCTCTTCAAAGTTTTTATTCATCTCTTTAAAATTAAAAAAATAATGTAACCTTGTACATTTGTAGAGATAGTTACAATTAATCTCATTTGTTTTTTAGATCTCTTAATTTAGATCAATATTTTTTCCACTTGATTTCTTATTTTTTTCATTTGTTCTTCAACATTATCAACCAGACTCAGCTTGGAAATCATTGGCTATTCAGCTCCTTTATTAGCATATTGCACCAAAATTTTATGTGACTTTGTCTAGCCCTAATTTCTCCATTTTGAGTATGATTTCTTCTAGCTCTAATTTCTCCATTCTAGGTGACTAGGTGGTGAAAATAATTTTTAAGAGATACTAATAGAAGAATTTCTTTAGTTTTGGCCTTTTAGTTTCACTTTGAAACTTATCAGTTGACAATAGAATATTACAAAAGAGGTGAGGTCTTGTATTTATATCAAACCCTTGCAAG